AGGTCTAATAGACTTAGTCTAATGTATATTAAGAATAATATTTCTAAATATATTAGGAGTGCCATTTTTGATAAACTATTGGCTAAGGATTACCTTAAAGCTCTAGAAGAACATTTTACTATTTCAACTAAGTCACTGGCTAGCACTCTTATGACCCAATTGGTAACCACAAAATATGATGATCTTAGTGGTGTGCGTGAGCATATCATGAAAATGACTGATATTGCATATCAATTGAAAAATCTGGATATGGATGTTAGTGACTCCTTTCTAATCCACTTTATTATGACTTCTCTTTCTGCGCAATTCGATAATTTTAAAACTACTTATAATGCGTAGAAAGATAAGTGAAAATTAACAGAATTAATTAGTATGTGTGCACAAGAAGAAGAGCGAACCTGACACAATACGCCCGATATGGCACACATTATGGATCAAAAAATAGTCAAGAAAAATAATAAGAAAACTGGGAAAAGGAGTATAAAGGTTAATGATGTTGAACCCAGTCGGGCACATAAAGTGGGGAAAAAGAAAGTTCAATACTTCTGGTGTCACAAGTGAGGCCATGTCAAAAAGGAATGCTTTAGTTACAAAAACTGGTTAGCAAAGAAAGATAGCATCTATTATCTAGTGTGTTGAGAATCTAATTTAGCCATTGTTCCACTAAATACTTGGTGGATTGATAAAGGTAATACTATTCATATTTCTAATTCCTTGCAAGGATTCTTAAAGAGCAGGAAAATCAATCCCAATCAAAGGACACTCACCATGGGTAATGGGGTAGAAACACAAGTTAAAGCTGTGGGAGTTGTTCATCTTGTCCTTAGTAGTGGTTTGTCTTAGAGTTAGAAGATGTTTTGTATATTCCTTCAATGTCCAGAAATTTGATCTCTGTACCTAAACTTGATATGTTGAACTATGAGTTTCATTTTAGTAATCGTAATATCAATATCTTTTATGATTCCAAATTTATTGGTTCTGGTTCATTAGTTGATAGTTTTTATCCTCTAAATCTTGACCCAAATTTTTCACAATCTCTTTTGTCTTTTAATGTGAGTACCAAACGTAGTCTTACCAATGATTCTTCTTTTATGTTATGGCATAGGCGTTTATGTCATATCTCTAGAGAGAGATTAGAAAGATTGGTTAGAGAAGGTGTTCTGAACACATTAGATTTTTCAGACTATGGCATATGCATTAATTGTGCTAAAGGAAAGTTAACCAAGTCTAGATATAAGGGTGCTACTAGAAGTAATGGCCTCTTAGAGCTTATACACACAGACATATGTGGTCCTTTCATTCCTGCTACACTAAACGGGAAGAAATATTTTATTACATTTATTGATGATTATTCTCGTTATGGTTATGTGTACTTGATTGGTGAGAAATCTGAGGCACTGGATATTTTTAAAATTTATAAGACAGAAGTCGAGTGTCAGCTTGATAAGAAAATTAAAGTAATACGATCTGATAGTGGTGGTGAATACTACGGAAGACACGATCATACAGGTCGTAATCTAGGGCCGTTTGCTAAGTATCTACAGGAGTGTGGTATAGTTGCGCAGTACACCATGCTAGGTACCCGTGAGCAAAATAGTGTGGTTGAACGAAGGAATCGCACACTTATGGATATGGTGCGAACTATGATGAGTAATTCATCTTTACCAGATTTTTTGTGGGGTGAAGTTCTTAGGACTGCTGCATATATCCTAAATCGAGTGAGGCAGTCTCAAAGACTCCTTTTGAGTTATGGACAGGAAGAAAACCTAGTTTAAACTACTTATGTATTTGGAGATGTGCAGCAGAGGCTAAATTATATAACCCACATGAAAGGAAACTTGATCCCTGGACAATCAGTTGTTATTTTGTAGGATATCCAGAAAGGTCAAAAGGTTATAGATTTTATTGTCCATCACATAGTACCAAACTTATTGAGACCCTAAATGCTAGGTTCATTAAGGATGGTTACACCAATGGGAGTATAGAGCCTAGGCACATGGTATTTGAGGAAAATCGAAATATAAATTTAGTTCCTTGGGATGACGTAGTTGTTCCACTCGCTACCATGTAAGATGGTGATTTAAGTTATCAAGAGCCTGAAGAGCAAACACCTCGCATAGAAGAAATCTCAAATGAACCAATAGTTGACATGCCATTACGAAGATCAAGGCGAGAAAGGAAAAGTGCTATTCCAGATGAATATGAAGTTTATCTACAAAAGATTGAGTTCAACATTGGTAAAGAAGATGATTCACTATCATTTTCAGAAGCCAAAAGTAACACTTTTGCTCAACAATGGTCAGATGTAATGAAAGATGAGTTAGATTATATGAAAAATAATCAAATTTGGGATCTAGTTGACTTACCAGAGAGAGTCAAACCCATTGGCTGTAAATGGGTATTTAAAACTAAACGAGACTCAAAATGTAAAGTTGAAAGGTATAAAGCCTGACTTCTTACTAAGGGTTTTACTCAACAAAAGGGTATCGACTAAAAAGAAACTTTTTCTCTTGTTTCGAAGAAAGACTCTTTTAGAATTATAATGGCATTACTATCTCATTTTGATTTAAAGTTACATCAAATGGATGTAAAACTGCATTCCTAAATGGTGACTTGCTCGAAGAAGTTTATATGAAACAACCCGAGAGTTATAAAATTGGGGGCAAAGAACATATGGTGTGCAAGTTAGGGAAATCTATTTATGGGTTAAAACAAGCATGAAGATAATGGGACATAAAATTTGATGAGATAATTACTTCATATGGGTTTAAAGAAAATATTATTGATGAGTGAATTTATGTGAAAGTCAGTGGGAATAAGTTCATTTTTCTAGTGTTGTATGTTGATAATATCTTACTTGCTAGTAGTGACATTGGTCTATTACATGAGACTAAACATTTTTTATCTCAAAGTTTTGAAATGAAAGATCTTGGTGAAGCCTCATTTGTCATTAGCATTGAGATTCATCGAGATAGATCTCGTGGGATTATTGGATTGTCACAAAGAGCCTATTTAGAAAAGGTTCTTAAAAGATTTGATATGCAACACTGTAAAGGTGGAATTGCCCCTATAGTAAAGGGTGATAAATTTAGTAAATTCCAGTGTCCGAGAAATGACCTAGAGCGGGAGCAAATGGAAAACATTCCCTATGCATCTGCAGTTGGGAGTTTGATGTATGCTCAGGTTTGCACACGGCTAGACATATCATTTGCTGTTGGTATGCTAGGCAGATACCAAAGTGATCCTGGCATGGATCATTGGAAAGCGGCAAAGAAAGTAATGAGGTACCTGCAAAAGACAAAGAACCATTTGCTTATATATAGAAGGACCGACAGGCTTGAAGTGGTGGGTAATACAAACTTTGACTTTGCTGGTTGTTAGGATAGTATGAAATCCACTTCAGAATTTATCTTCATGATGGCTGGAGGAGCAATTTTATGGAAAAGTATTAAACAAACACTAACAGCTTCATCCACCATGGAGGCAGAGTTTATTGCATGTTATGAGGCCACTTGTCATACATTATGGTTACAGAACTTCATCTCAAGACTTATGGTGATAGATTCTATTTCTAAACCATTGATGATTTTTTGTGACAATTCTGCTGCAGTTATGTATTCAAGGAATAACAAGAGTTCAGGAAAATCTAGGCATATAGATATTAAATACCTAGTTGTAAAAGAGAGGATTCAGAACCAGTTTGTGTCTATTGAGCACATTAGTACACAGCAAATGATTGTTGATCCTATGACTAAGGGGTTGCCGCCTAAGCTATACAGTGATCATGTTGCTCATATGGGTCTTATTGATAGCTTTGATTTACTTAGTTAGTGGGAGGTTATTTTTTTTGACTCAGTTGTAGACACAATTGTATTTGTGATAACAGTTTCTTATATTATATTATTCTCATTTATTTAGTTTTCCATATTTGTGCACGTGTGTATGGAAAATTATAAATGTCTTTTATGAGACATGGTGTATCCTTATTGAGACACGGTAGGACCGAAGTATGGCATAATATTTTATTATTTAGCACATGTGGTATTTATGTATAATATTGAAGTTGAGTGTATTAATGTTTGTGACTATTGATGTCCTATATTATTAAATAATATAATGACGTCCTTGATTCAATATTAATATACTTGTAAGGACTTCATGAAAGTTGTTTGGTACAATGATTTTCTAAATATAGATAGTTTATTTAAAGTGTGCGCACCAACATTGTTTAAAAAAATATTTTTCAAAACAAATAAATAAATAAATAAAAGATTAATTATGATTATAAGACCAAGTGGAAGAATGTAAGAAAAAAAAAATGGTCTTAATATATAATTAATCTTAACTTTTAAATGATTTTATAATTTTATCTATATTTAAAAGATGTGACGTATCATATAATTACAGTTTAAATTATAACTGTTATATATCTACAGAGGGGTGTGTTGGTTGATGGAGCCAACATGTCTCCTCTTGGCAATGTTTAGAAACGATCCCAACCCTCTATATATATACGTGAAAGAGAGTGTGAATCCATCATTCAGTTTCACAGGCAAAGATAGAGGGTTGAAGATTGTTTCTATATTATAGAGTGTTTCTGTAATAATTCATCTCAAACGCAACCAGCTAAAGATGGCAGGTATGTTTTTCCAAATAACAGTTTTATGCATTTGAACTGCTTAAAATAAAAGATTGAGAGTTCGTGTACCGGTAAGTACAAGTGGTTGTGAGTGAATTTTTTTTTTAATTAATTATTCACTGAAAAAAAAAAAAATTTGTTCCTAGAAGTTAATTGCACTAAATTTATTTTTGCATTTTATTAGGCCTGTTAGGCCCATTTTGTCATGAGCAAATGCCTGTCTAGAAAATGAGAGCATGGGCCTCAAATATTTTGGATGGGCTGTTTTGTATCCCTACCTATTTGGGCTTTCGGTCGTACATTTTTTCTCTCCTCTACTCATATAAGAACGCGTGGTTATAAGGCCACAACCCCTCTCTCTCTCTCTCTCTCTCTCTCTCATTACACGTTTGGTTGCAGTGAGTCAGTCACCAAAATGGCGGCGGCTACCTCCTTCTCTCCCTCCGTGGCGGCTTCCTCATCTTCTTCGAAAACCCTAAAGCCATCCCCGAAAAGCCTAGGTAGCAATCTAGGGTTTCTTTCTTCATCGTCTTCGAAAACAGCCCTAAAGCCTCTCAAAGCTCGGGTCTTTACTAGCAATAATGCTGGTTCAGGCTCAGGCTCAACTCTCGGGGCTCGGATGGTCTCTATGCCTGCGATCAAGTCGCCAATGTTGCTCGATTTCGAGACCTCTGTCTTCAAGAAGGAGAAGGTCACTCTAGCTGGTCATGACGAGGTATTTCCCCCATTTTCTCTATCTAAAACTCTTCTTCTTCTTTTTTTTTTTTTTTAATGTATATTTGTTCCATGTGATGATTGTTTGGTGAGTTTATTTTTGGATATTGTAGTTTATCGTGAGAGGAGGGAGGGATTTGTTCCATTTGCTGCCTGATTCGTTCAAGGGTATCAAGCAAATTGGTGTTATCGGTTGGGGATCTCAGGTATTTTCAATCTTTTCCTTTATTCGTTAACATTATATTGTTGTTTTATTTGTTTTTTTTTTTTTTTTTTTTTCCTTATTTTGAATAATTATTGTTCATTGCCTTAGGAGGCGTTTAAAAAATAGCATTCATTTTAAAATGTTGTTTAGATCTCGAGTTGTGCCATTTTAATGGAACTTAAAAGTTATCGTGGATGATAAAATATAGTAAGGTTCCCTACTTTTGTTAAATGGCTCCGTTTATGATATATATATATTAAAAAAAAAAAAAAAAAAAAAAAAAAAAAAAAAAAAAAAAACTTAAAACTTTTACACAATGCTATATACATTGAAATCGAACCGTTCAATTTAACCCTCAAACATACTTTTTTCCACTGTTTTTTTAGCATTTTTGCTTAATGTCCCCTCAGTTTTTTTGGTAAGTGTAAATTTCGGATTTTGGAATCTCTGGTTCTAAACATGAAAAACTTATCTAAGCTAATTAAGAGGTGATTTTTAGTGGATTGAAAGATTTAGAGATCTTCAGTTGTTAAGTAATGGACGAATACTCAACTCAACAGACTTATAAAGGGAAAAAAAAATTACCCTACTCAACAGAGTTATGTTGAATCATTTGGTTTCTCTTGACCCTCAATCTTCCTTAGTCATTACATCTTTACTTTTGTTCATATGTTTGTTAAAGCTGCATTCTATATCTATATACTAAATCCTCTTATTGATATAGTTACTCTCTCTTAAGGCATCTATTTAGCATTTAGTGATGTTTTAGTTTCATCAATCAAATTACTGTCATGCTCAAGTAGCATTAGTAAGGTTTTATTAATCTTATATCTGTCTTGGCAATTCATTCATAACTAGGATGTTGCTTCAAATTTTGTATTTTCTCTCTTTGTTGGGAAATTACATTCCAGAAATGGTATTCAATGACCTCTGTTTTTATTCTTCTTGTGGTCATATTTGTTGATGAGAGATTTCAAACTTATTTAGAGATCTGAACCATGCAGTATTGCCACAATGTTATTCAGATAACAGGACAATGTATTACTTTCTCTCTTTTATTGGTCAAACTTACAAATTTATGGAAAGTGGGAAAATGAGTTCTTTTATTGGTATTGGCATAAAATTCTTTTTTAGATAAATGACTGGATTATTAGTCATTCATTCTTGTAATGTAAATTCTTTTACTGTGAGACTTAAAATGTCATCACAACATGATGAGGATATGTAACCTCATTGGATTTTGTAATTGCTTTTCTTTAATTGATTTGAGCTTTTCTCTTTTCATTTTTTATATTTATAAACTGACATGATTTCATGTGACCTTGTAGTCTGATCTCTTTGAATGTAGGTGATGTTTTGTGGTTGTTGTTGCTTTTGTTATTATCATTATTTTGTGTAGATACATTTAAAATTAGAATTAACTTGGCGCTTCAATGGTTGAGTTTGGATACTTTGAAAGTACGGAAACTTGAAAGTTCCTGCTTTCTGATTCCAATGGCAGTTTGTTGTTTTGACAAATGGTGATTTGATTCTGGAAATAATGTTGTTTTTGTGACGATTTGGAATGAAGAAATGAATAGAGAAGTTCACTTTTGAAGTTTACCTGATAGATTCAGTTACATATACTTTTTAGCATAATTGTGCATTATTTGGTAAGTATAAGAAGATTGGTTTAGGTTAGGTGGATGGGAACATTTTCCCTCTATTTGCTAGCTAAGATTATGTAATTATATTTCATATTGGAGTTTAACTCTTTCTTATGTTGGGGTAAATGATTTTCCTTATTCTCGAATCATTTTGTTGATGTTCTATAAAAGTAATGACAGCATTCCCATGCATATATACAGGGCCCTGCTCAAGCTCAAAATCTAAGGGATTCTCTTGCAGAAGCTAAATCCAATATTGTGGTCAAGGTGATAATTAATTTTGTATACTTTTTGTAGTGATTTTATTAGCATTCATAACGTGTTTTTCAACTATTTGTTTGCATTATGATTCATGAATAAGCGATGGCTTATTTTGTATATGAATCAGTTTCTCATTTATGAATACATCTGCTTGCCATATTTGCTTTGTAATACAGATAGGTCTTCGGAAGGGTTCTCGTTCATTTGCGGAAGCTCATGCTGCTGGTTTCACTGAAGAGAGTGGAACACTAGGCGATATATGGGAAACTATATCAGGCAGTGATTTGGTGTTGCTCTTGATTTCTGATGCTGCACAGGTTGGTGCTATGTAAAGATGTATATTCCTGGCCTACATTATTGACCGAAACTTTAATTATTGCTAGTATGTTATCCTATGCTTTTGTTTTGTAGCTATCAGAATTCGTGTCAAAATTTGCTTCATAAAAATATAGCTTTCTAACTTTTTCTGTTTTCTCTATGTTGCCTTTAAATAATGTCCTCTTGTTAAATTTGAATTGCTACCAATTTCTGTTATTTCTGTGCTGGACAAAAACTTTCAGTACATGTGAAGCTTCAATTTCCTCATTTTGGCTCTCTTCTTCTTCTTGTTTTTTTTTTTTGGCTTCTTTTACATTTCTTATTATTATATCATTCTAATTGTGATGGAATAAAGGGAAGGAAGAAAAACACAACAGTTACAATACACACTAATTGAGTGATGAGTGAAAACATTCACAAATCCAACACCAACCAATCGCTGCAGGACGGTTAGGGGTATAACTGCGACCTCTCATAGCAACAACCAGATACTGAGATTTGCTTGAATATCTCAGTTAATCAAAGTAATGGCAAATACAATGGGGTATCGATTGTGCATTTCACCAATGCCATGGGTATCTGCTATGCTTATTCTATTTCAATCATAGAATGATTATCTTATTCTGAAGTTCATGTGTTGCAGGCTGACAATTATGAGAAAATATTCTCCCACATGAAGCCAAAGAGTATTCTTGGGCTTTCCCATGGATTTCTTCTTGGCCATTTGCAGTCAATGGGCCTGGACTTCCCCAAAAACATGAGTGTGATAGCTGTGTGTCCCAAGGGAATGGGTCCATCTGTGAGAAGACTCTACGTTCAAGGCAAAGAAATTAATGGTGCAGGAATTAATTCCAGTTTTGCGGTCCACCAGGTAAGTGTGTGTGTGTGGCATGCACATTGTTTTCTCTCTGGCTAATTGTGTTCAGTAAGACGTCTATTTACTAAATTTCTTTGTTGGACAGGATGTTGATGGCAGAGCCACTGATGTTGCCCTTGGATGGTCGGTTGCCCTTGGTTCTCCTTTTACATTTGCCACTACACTAGAGCAGGAGTACAAGAGTGACATATTTGGAGAGCGAGGTAAGTGGTTCCTTTATCCATATTTTGTGTTTTCACTGTATATTGATGTCTGATTTTCCCTCATTTGGTTAATAGGTATCTTACTTGGTGCTGTGCACGGGATTGTTGAGTCCTTGTTTAGAAGATATACTGAAAATGGAATGAGCGAAGATCTGGCTTACAAGAATACTGTTGAGTGCATAACAGGGATAATTTCAAAGACCATTTCAACTAAGGTTAAGTTCTTGTGATCATTTCAGGGAATGGGGAGTTTCTTGTGATAAAATTCATGGGTTTCATTCCTTTCCCCTGCATCTGTGTGTTACTGTGTGTGTGGAAGCCTCTCATGTCAGTCATTACTTGACCGTTTTGAAATCTTTTACCATTACATTTTCGGGATGTTTGCCTGTTGATATGTTACTTTTCTTGTTCCTTGTAATAGGGCATGTTGTCTGTGTACAATTCTCTTTCAGAAGATGGCAAAAGGGAGTTCGAGGCTGCATATAGTGCCTCGTATTATCCCTGCATGGACATCTTATACGAGTGTTATGAAGATGTAGCTACTGGCAGTGAGATCCGGAGTGTTGTCTTGGCTGGGCGTCGCTTTTATGTATGTTAATTTCCTTATTGTTTTCATATATGTCTAGTGCATTACTATGTCATTGTTCTAAAATCATTCATGTTATGTTAAATGTAAGCTTCTGATCCCTTGAGCTATTTATGGTATTTGAATAGTTGCAAGTTAAGATAAACATAACCATTGATTCGATGATTGATTTTCTTTGCAGGAAAAGGATGGTCTACCAGCTTTCCCGATGGGTAAAATTGATCAGACGCGGATGTGGAAAGTAGGTGAACGAGTTAGAGCAGTACGGCCAGCAGGCGACTTAGGCCCATTATATCCCTTCACTGCAGGTGTCTTTGTGGCATTAATGATGGCACAGGTAAGAGCTCATTTGAAGTTTCAACTTTCAAGTTAAATCAAATCAGGTTATAATTTTTAAGGAATTGGAGTGGCCATGCATTATGGGTTGATATTGAGGGTTGCTTGCTTGAAAAGAAAGTTCTATTTTGTAATCTTAATTCCTCTACTAGTAAAAAGATTTTTCTAAGAAACATTGATACAGTAGAATGGTAAAATATAATTGCTCTCTAGCAAACTAAGTTAAATTTTTGCCTGTTGAATTCAAGGGCCCACCTTTTAACTTCTTACTAGGAACTGTGCTTGTTGACCATGTATTTTTTATAACCCAGAAAAGATGTATTAGAAGATTTGTTTGCCTTAAATTTTTTTATGATATTAATCATTTTACAGATTGAAATTCTGAGGAAGAAAGGCCACTCCTATTCGGAGATCATCAACGAAAGTGTGATTGAGTCTGTTGATTCTTTGAATCCTTTCATGCATGCTCGCGGGGTTTCTTTCATGGTTGACAATTGTTCAACAACAGCACGGCTAGGATCAAGGAAATGGGCCCCACGTTTTGATTATGTTCTTACCCAGCAGGCCTTGGTGGCAGTGGATAATGGAGCTTCCATCAACCAGGACCTCATCAGCAACTTCCTGTCAGATCCAGTGCACGGAGCGATTGAAGTATGTGCCCAGTTGAGACCTACAGTTGACATATCGGTGCCTGCAGATGCCGATTTTGTTCGTCCGGAGTTGCGTCAGTCTGGTAACTGAAGTGTTGAATTAGCTAGATTTCTTTTGGCGGGCTGTTTGAGAGAGAAGGTTTATTGAATGTAGGAGCACTATTGTTCTATCTAGTCTGTTTGGATGCTACTTTATGTTTGTAGAAGTACTCCTTTTGGCGGGCTGTTTGAGAGAGAGGTTTATTGAATCTAGGAGCACTATCGTTCTATCTAGTCTGTGTTTGGATGCTACTTTATGTTTGTAGAAGTACTCTGTACGTTGTGCTGCTTGCTGAGCGACTGAGCATGATATGTACTTTGTGTTGGTGATTTTAAATAATGAGTTACGATGATTAAGTATTTAACACGGGAGGAACTTTGAGAATGCATACTAGTAATTTACTCATAAGTTGGAAATTTTGATTGTCGGAACAGCTTTTCGTCTGTAACAGTTGCATAGCTGTGAAGAGTACCTTGGGTCTGAGGCATGCTTATAAATTCTGCATTCTGGATCTCCGAACGTGTGGTCAAGAGTGGATCTTGCGGAGAATCCGTTGACTCCAGTCTTTTGATTTCTTTGAAGCCATAATAAGCTTAGTTCCGAGGTACCTGTCTGTTTCGTGACAGCATCTTTTTTATTTTGAGTTGAGTATATATATATATATATATATATATATTTTGCTATGTGCAAATATTATGCTGAGAATCCCCTGATCTTGTGCTGAGAATCCTGATTTTTGTAGAATTAGGTCCAATTTATCTCTGCCTTCCAATTTCTTCAAGCTCGATAGTGGGTAAAAAGTTCCGAGGCACTTGTCTGAAGAATATTAGCTTGTCACGTTGTGGCATAAATAATGTCTTAACGAAATGTCAAAAATGAAAGCTAGGATTGAATTAGATGAAACGGAATGAAAACTGTGATACTGCAGCAGATGATAAGAACATTTGATGTGAAACGGAGTTGCTAACGCTACAATCGAATACGTCAAATTCATTTGAACTCGCATCTAAATAAACTCTAAATTAATGTGCAGTTTGCCGTCCAATATTGTTCATGGACATCCAAGAGTGGAACCATAATTGTTGGCTGGCCTAGTGGATTTTGTGAAATTCGTATTGGTATTTGGGAGATTGATTAAATTTCATTACATGGCATTATAGACCTCCCATTTATACACATTGTTAGTCTGTATGCGATAGGCCGGCAAAATATACCCAGACCCAAATACCCGTTCGAATCCGCCTAATAATTTGTAATTATTGCGTGAATACTTTAGTTGAGTAGGTTATTAATGAGTCAATCATTAATGGATAATATATTTAGTGGGTTGGTACACGCTACTGTCTTTGCACACTCGCACTCCTAATTGGTTAAGATTCTTAAAATTAATTAAATGTCTCTTATCATTATGGGATATTTAAAATATAAATTTATAGTACAGAAGTGCCTTTTAATTATTTCTTCTAACCTAAGTGTTTACATTATGTCTTTCTTTTAATTGTCTTTTAGCTATATAGATACTCGATCTATATATACATGTAGGTGTATAGTGTGAGGGGGTTAAAAAAAAAAAAAAAAAAAAGAATTTAGATGTGTGTGTATATATATATATATATATAAAGAAAAGAATTTAGGTGTTTATATATATATATATACATATATATACACACATACATATACACACCGAGCAGAGAGAATAAATAATTAAAAGGGCACTTTTGTCCTGTAAATTTATATTTTAAATCTCCCACAATGGTAGGAGATAATTAATTAATTAACTTGTAATTTTAGGAAGGACAGTCTTGTGCGATTGCAATTAGGTAAAATTTTGTGGCAAAAATTTCCTCTTCTGATTTGAAACTTCAATTTCCATCAAGCAATATTTCTTGTTGCTATCATTTCCTTCTCCTAAATTATTGTATATTTATTTATTTTCAGTTAGTATAACTTAAATATTATATCTTGCTCTAAAAATTCATCTTTAGTAGTGATATAACACCGCACTTTAGGACTTGTTTATCAATCTAAAGTACCATAATGGCACTTTTATCAATCTATTATATTAAGTTAAGTTTATTTTTTTTTTTAGTTTCACAACCTATATATAAATAAATAAATATTAAATTGAATTGCTAAACTACAACCTTTGGTACTTTTGTTTTTTTTTCCTTGTTTGGTGTTGGGCAAGATCACATTACAAATGTTTTGACATCTCATTAGAGAATGCATGTGGCTGCCAACGCTTGACGTGAAGAAACCACCAACCTAAAGGACATTCATTTTCTCTCTCTACTAATCTCATTCTCCTTTTTCTCAATATTTTCTCTCTCCACCACTGCATATATATATATACATATAGATATACACATATGTCTACGTTGGGTTAGCCTCATTGTAGAAGAATTGGGAATGAAAGGAAGAACTTTTGTGCAAAACAAGGTATTATTCGGGACAATGAAGACTTGCAAGCCCTAATAAGTGAACTACTTAGATTAAAAGGTAACGTCTTTTAATTCTCTCTACACTACAAGTAATAATATTCCATATATATATATATATATATATATATATAAGATAGTGTTATTTGGTAGGTTATCCATAGATCACTGAAAAATAAAAAGAGAAAGAGAGAGAAAGAGAAAGAAATAGTTAAAAAAGGGGAAGGAGGGGGGGGGGGGGGGGGGGGGGGTGGGGGCTATGAATCTATGGAAGAACTAGGAACTAAGAAGGCATAACATGACTAATCTTCTGATATTATTTATTATATTACCTGAATTAGGATATGTGTATGTATCTGTGTTGGATGTGTCAAATCTCTAAATAGAATGATACATAGAAATGGCTAAATATTATTTTATTTAATTATTTTATTTTATTTTTTAAAATAAAGTAATATTTTTATCTAATATAGTGTTCGAAATAGGCATTTAATTCATTTTAAATTAATAATATAATATAATTGAATGATTAGATATGGTTTTTAACTATACATGTCGATCCACTAAAAAATGTCGAATACATACCCAGTACTATATGTCCAGTACTTCACTACTTTTGAAGAGTTAGCCTAACATAGATTATTTATACAAAATAACACTTAATAATTTTCAAACTTACTTAGAAGTACTGAAAAATTAATTTACATTTATCAATATATATATATTATTAATTTATTACTATCATTTAACCACATCGTCTCCTTATCTTTTGAGCGCGAAGAAGATGTTCGGAGAAAGGGCCATAAAATCGTTACACAGTTATTCAAGACATTTTTTTTTTAATGGTCAAGAAACTACCATGCTTATTGGTAAAACTCTCCTTTTCAAAAGATAATTAAGTTGTTCAAGTCCTAGTCCTGCATGGACCAGTTGTGTTGCTCATCTACCAAAAAACAAAAAATATGAAAAAAAAATTGTCAAAACATGATTCCCAACTATGCTTTACACGCACACACACAGTGGTAAGCAACCAAAGCTTCGATCCATTATTACTATTTTTTTCTAATTCTTTTCTTTTTGCTTAAGATGGAGGATTATTTAACTTATCATAATGGAAGCCAGAGGCCATTACAATATTATAAATACCTTAATTGGAACCATCAAATCTCATTGCCCCAGATTATGCAATCTTCTAACCATAAAATAGAGGCCAATATCATTGTGGCCTACTAATACTTCACCTCTCCATGGAAATATTATCGTATTCTTATAAATAAAAAATGATGATATTCAATTTCTTCTAAAAGTTTTTGCATAATCAATAATTCATTAAAATGATGATATTCCTTTTCTTATGATTCATGAAAAAAAAAAAAGGTTTCTTTATATTTTTTAGCTTAAATTCACACTGACTTTGTTCACGTGGATTTGAACTCCTAATCTTCTTCTACTTTGATTATTGAATATGTTATTTGGATGGTAATATATTTTGAGTAGATTTTTATGAATTTAATTATGTATTTAAGCAAATTTAAACAATATTGTCAAACTTGAGAGTTATAGTCTGGATATTGATTCTAACAAAAATATTTGAAATTGTAAGATGTATTTAAATATATTTAAAGTGTTAAAACTACTTACTTAATAGATTTATTTACTAAATTCTTCTTGACTTGCAAATTCACAAAAATGCCAAGTCTAACCATAAAAACAAGTAGCTAGTAAAGTTGGGGACATGTTGTCGTGTTTAGACATTATAAAAAGGATTAGATTAATGTTTGTTAAAGCAAAATGCATTTTTTTAATGATGATGAGTTCAACCTTATTGGCAAGTTGAGCTCTAACTTAAACAATTTGTGGCCTCGAATTGCGTAAAATGTAGTATTTTTGGTTTAAGGGTGGAAGATGCCAATTAGCATATATATTAGTGTAATTGTTTAAGCACCTAAAGGTCAAAAGATAGCATCATTAGGGCCTAATTAGCTTCCTCTTTTGGACCAAAGCTAACTTTGGGTAACTTTACATTTTGATTGCTCTTTAGTACACTAGTATAATTATGTTTTTGCCCTTCAATCATTCTCGGTTAACCCACTCTAAGCTGTCCCATGACCCACCTTAATTTTTTCACTGAAAAGTGAGAGTATTTTAATACTGCTATTTTTTTCACTTTTACCATGGCATAGTTTTGTTATGTGGAGCACACTCATTGGACCAAGCACAAAACTGGAGACTCAAAAACTGTGGGTGGAGAACAATGCCTCCCTGCTGCATAAAGTAGAAACATACAATTATTACGAGGGGTGAGAAGCAGGGATCAAACCAGCAGCTACTTTAGTGAATTAAGTATTTATTTATAAAAATAATAAATGTCATTTAAAATGAAAATAAATTTTAAATGAGTACTTATCACGGTTAAAAATTATAAAATAAATAAAATATATTTTATTTACCATTTAAAAACTCAGTACTTAAAATTCATCTCTTCAATTTTTAAGTTCTTTAATTTTTGTTAATACAAAAAAAAAAAAAAACAACTTTATACGCAAATTGGCTTAATTTTTTGAGATTTAGTTAATATAAATAAATATTAAAATTGAATTGCTCAAAAAAGTCAAAATTTTTTGAAATTTGATTGAATTTTCAAATTTCAAAAAGAAAGAAAGAAAAAAAATACCCTGTAAGGCATTGTTTCACTAGGAAGAAAATAAGATGAGAAAATGAAAGGAAAAAAACCTGAAGTGCTTTGACAAGAAAATTATTTTCTGCATTAATTTTATTATGATGCAAAATTTAAACTTTCTTGCAATTTTTTACAAGAAAATTAATAAGTCTTGGAAATCTACTTTTCTATATATATTTTTTAAAATAAATTGAATATTCGGAGGAAATTTTGGAATATTCCTGTGAAAAATAATGGTGAGACCTTAGATGGAAGGCGCAGAGTAGTAGGGATGGGATTGAGTTTTAGGGTTCCTGAATGCCCAGCTGGCACCGCACTCTGCACATGGCCAGCTGCTCCCATCTCCTCTCATCTCATCTAATCTCTCTCCTCTCTCCAATCACACCCATCTCTTTCATCTCATCTCATCTCCTCTCTCTCCTCTCTCCAATCACACCCATTCTCATCTCATCTCCTCTCTCGAATCACACCCATTCTTATCTCATCTCCTCTCTCCAATCACACCCATCTCATCTCATCTCCTCTCTCCAATCACACCCATCTCATCTCATCTCATCTCATCTCATCTCCTATTAACCTATCACTTTTATTTCATTACTGTACATGTCACGTGCATCCTTATTCCTCACTTCATTTTTTACTTTTCTTTTATTATTTTATATTTAATATTTAAATGTTTAATATAGTTATTTTCTGCAATTAAAAAGTTCACCATGAGTTAAAAATACGAGTTTTAAGTTAAGACCGATTTATTTTGTATAATGAAAGTTTCTAATTGAGTTATATTTTTTAAATTTATTGAATTACAAGATTAAATATTTAAAATATTTTAGGTCGAAAAAACAGTTTACCATAATTGAACACGTTGTTATTTATCTTATAAAATGTTTTGAACTCTAGGTTAAAGGAACTTATGATTAAATAAAGTCAAAAACTTGCAAGTGGCTCACAAAACTATTTACCTTGTTGAGCATCTTGACACACTTTGGTCCCACTATAAGACATTTTTCTCTTTTTTTTTTACTCTTGTTTTAGAAAATATATATATATTTTTGAGGTAGTGTTTGTTAAAGGTTTAAGTCGATGTTAAGAATGAGTCTATCGACCTCGATACGTGCAAATTAATTTATAAAAAATTAATAAATAAATTATTTTTATTAACTTTTAATATATTTTCTTTTCGTAAATATTTTACGATAATTAAACATTAAAAAATATATATAAAAAGATTTTATTTTGGTGGAACAAAATTGTTGGACAAGGAAGACAATTGGATTGGTTTGATTAAAATTGCAAGTTATAAGCTTAAGAAAGTGCGTTGTCCATCTACAAAGGAGGCCCATAAAAACTTGGCTTTAATTTCCATTCTAGTAGTTGATTTTCAGTTTGCTTGCATTAATTTTTAGCACCTTTTACTTTCTTTGTGTGGATGGTACTCTCCTACAAGACTACACTTGGATGACCTAAGCTATCTACCCTACTCTTTTTCAAAAGGTAGAACACACTAAATTGGTACCCCTTTTTTTCTTATTTAATGACAACCTTGGTAAAATTATAAAATTGCTAATCATTAAATTCATATGTGAATCAACTTCAAATATATTTTATCCATACCATAGTTCAATATCTTAATTGAAAGACACTAAGGCTGAAAAATATTTATTAAACAATTTAAGGTTTTTTAAACATTTTATAATAAACAAAGGTTATATATTTTTTATTTTATTAAAACTATTATGATCTTTATGACAACCTTAAAATATAAATCTAAATAAGACATTATCCTTCCATTAAAAGAAAGGAAAACATCATTTTTCATATTGAATACACAATTATATTATATTATGTGTCTGTGTATATATATATATCATACATACATACACATATGTACATACATATTATAACTACTAGTATAGTTGATCGAAGCCGAAGGGCCGGCCCTGGGGCAAGGCAACCAAGGCGCCTAGGGCCTCAAATTTAGGATCATAATGCAAATATAGTAGTATTTATATGTGATCATAATTTTCATAATTTGTTTATATCCCCTCCCATCAAAATAAATAATTTTTTTTTTCAAAAACTTGTTTATTTTATTATTATATTATTTTTGGGCTCATGTGTGTGCATGGAAGGCTCCATTAAGCCAAGTCTAAACAAGCAAAATTTTAACTCATCGATGCAATCAACTGTTACATTCTTTAAAATAACCTTAAAGATTTCCTAAACATGACATGATTTCTCATATTGATGGGGAAAAATTATTTTTAGAGTTACAAGGTTTAAGAGAAGTTTTACCAAGAGGGACAAAAAGACAATTGAGATATTGGATGTTATAAAAAGATTAGGTTATTGTTTTCCAAATGCATATATAGTGTTATTGACTATCTCATTGCAGATAAACTTTTCAAAATCAAAATTGATCAAATCTTATCCATGGTTGACAATATGTTAGAGAAACTTAATTGGAGCACTTTAATTGACAATTTTGTAATTCAAAACGTGATCACATTAATTTTGATTGAAGTTGAATTTTGATTTTTGTAATTAAGTTATGTTGAATATTTCTTTTTATTTTTTGATATAAATGGATCATACTCTTTATAAAGTACCAAGATCGCATTTTATTTTGTTTTTTTTTTTTTTTTAAATATTAATATATTTTGTGTTTAACGTCTCATTTTAATGAAAATTTTAGAGTCTTTTAACTTTTGACATGTACAAAACCTTATGTATAAAGGACTTTACGGTTAAAAATTCGCTAGAACCCCCTCAAACTTTTGGGAGTGTCAGGGCGAGCCCTGGGCAGACCATCCTTCAAATTACTCTTGTACTACTATGTTGAATATTCCAAATGTAATTGTATCAAAAAGAAAAAACAATAAATAAATAAAAAATAACTTTAATATTAGCAACTAACAACCGAACATAAACAACCAAACTAGACAATACCCACGTGTGATCGTGAGGACATTAACAACCAAATTATGTTAAATGAAGATCGGTTTGGACAATATCAACGTGGGATCGTGAGAATTTTGTTTGGGTGGCTTGGATCTCCAGTGACTCTGAAAGGAAAATGCTTATATTATCACAAAAAAAAAAAAAAAAAAAAAATTATACTGATTTTTTCCTTATCAAAAAATTTATTGACTTAATTGTTATGTTGCCGTGCCTAATACTCATTTGGGAAACAATAATATTGATATATTTACTGTTCTATATTTATGAATTCAAAGTCAAGTGCAATTAAATCCATTAAACTTTCCACATTCTTGTGCCCCTTTGTTCCTCGTATCTTTTGAGGCTTTATATGGACTTTCATTTTTTTTCTTTTCATTACATAGTTATTCAAAAAAGAGAGAGAATGTGTGATCAAGAATTGTACCCATTTTTTAAATATATTTTTTAATAGGTCAATGGTTATAGAGTTAAGAGTTTAGGGAAAGAGATTTGAACCTATAAACATAAAGTGAGAACATTTAAGGAATGACTCTTTATCACTCTATCAATATTGTCGCACATTAAAAATTACATCTTATGGAATCCCTTCAATAACCATCCCTATAGAATTAACCCACCATACAACAAGTGGTATTGTTACCCAAAAAGTAAGAAATGACAATAGTACTAAGAATATATATATATATATATATATGTTTTATCAAATTTTGAATAATTTTTCTGGCTAAAAGATTAGTAGAAATAATGTTCACCGTTGATTTTTTAGGTAAAGACTAAAGAGACCTTAAAAACATTTAATATTTCAAATAATACTACAGTCAGCAGAGTTTTTACATTTAGAGTATTTAAGGTAACTTATTCAAAAAATATCATAGGTTAAAATGAATATTGAATTATATATTCTTTCTAAATCTATGACTTAAAATATAGCTGCATTGACACTCACAATATCAATAACTTGTATTCCTATTTGAGTAAATTAGGAAAGAAAAGAAAAGAAATGATATCATTCTCGTTTGGAAAAGAAAAAGGAAAGAAAAGAAAAAAAAACATATTTGAATCTGTTTGCTATCATACCTAATTTAAAGGTGGGATCCAAATGTTTTTAAATTTTATATCTATTGAAATGTTAAAAGTTATTTTTGATCTTATGAAAGTGTCATGTGTTTTTTAACCAGACAAAACAAATAGAAACTAAAGAAGAAGAAGAAGAAGAAGAAGAAGAAGAGCTTGAATGGGTTGCAAGAGCTAATGAGGCCAAAATCAGGATGAGAGGGTGAAGAAGATAAGGCATGAGAAGTAAGAAGGTGTTGAAGTCCACATCAGTGGGAAGTCGGGCATGGGCTCTTAAAAAGAGCTTGACATCATCAACAATAAATCATGACCAGAGTTCAGACGATGATCCTCGCAAATCATAGGTGGTGTTGGATAAAAAGCTTGAATCTTTTGAGGAAATTGTTCAGGTTTGAGGGCTGGCTTCACATATACGAGTATAATAGAATTGTGTCATCCGCAAATAGGAGAAGAGAAATTGCAACTCAAAATGCACAACATGACTGAGGAGGGATGAAAGATCTTGGGTCTCAACTCTCGCGATAATCTTTCCAAATCATTTCTTTTCTCTCCTCATAGTGGTCATATATAATTGGTGCACAAAAACTAATTACCAGATTTGAGCTTTAAAAAAATAATGCTATTTAAAGCCCAAAACTAAAAATCAACCAAATTATACCATGTCCATTTTTTTAATAAATAAAGTTATATCACTCACACCATTAATACATTTTCTTTGGATTTTATGTAGTTTATTGGTTTGGGAAGCATTTTCATAAATATAATCATAATTGTGATCATTATAAAATATTAGGATTATGTTTGATAAATTCGAATTCACACCTTAAATTTGAGATAAATATTTTAAATTAAACTTCTTTCGATATCAAACACATGGTAACATAGATTTATTTGAGTTGAAATTATGGGAAATTCATGAATTTATTGTTAGGTGATTATTTAACTTCTACAGTTAAAATTTAGCAGTGTTAAAATAAATAAAGCATAATTAACACCTAACACCCATGAATTTAAAAGCATTAAATATTCCTGCTACCCTTAATATTAACACAGAGTTTCTTCGTAAAAAAAGCGGCTTTCCATAATCCAGAGAGAGAGAGGGGTAGGTGTCTCGTGAACTGAAGAGGGAAGAAATCAATAATATATTTATAAAAACACAAAAATAGAAATAGTAAAATCTCATTCTCTCTCTCTCTCTATCTCCACTTTCTTTCTTTCCCGTTCATTCTTGGCTTAATCCCTTTAAATCACGAGATCCCCATCTACTGCCCTTTTTTTTTTTTTTTTCCTTCTTCCCGTCCTCGTCCCTCCCCTGCCCTCTCCTCTCTCTCTCTCTAAAATCTCTACATTCATGTATTCTTCACAACCTCTCTTCTATTGTACCCTTTTGCTGTTGCATCTTCCATTCTTGTAGTTTTTATTATAAGCATTCATGTGAGAGAGAGAGTAACTTCAATTACTCTGAATCAAAATCTCTCTCTATATACACACATAAACACACACATATATACATATCTATATATATTTTGAGTTATACTGTAAATACGGTGTAATGTCGCATCCTGGGAAGTCATTACATGAAATGGGTCTTGATTCGCTGCCCGATCGGTTCCAAGACTCCTTCGGTTTGGACCACAACAAGCCCGATTTCAAAGAACTCGATCTGGGTTCTCCAATTTCACCCTTAATCACTCGCGCTGATTCAGATGGTGGTGGTGGCGCCACCACCACCGCTAACACCAGTAGTAGTTCAAGCTCATTTACTTCGGTGTCAAATCACACCCCACGCGTTCAGAGATCCATTAGAAACCCAACCAATCACTCCGGAGAGCTCGAAACCAGCCGATCTGTGGCCACAACTCGCAATTCCAAACCGGGTCATCGAAGATCAAACTCCACTGGACCTCCATTAATCTATTCAGGTTCTGGAAGCCTCTATAACAACAACAACAGCAGTAGTAGTGGTAGTAGCACCACCAATAGTGGTGGTAGTTGTGGAGGAGGTAGTGCAGGTTCAGTCTCATCTCCCAACACAACCATATATCCAATCGGCAACATTTGCCCTTCTGGGAAGATTTTAAAATCAAATATGGCTTCCCGGAGTTCCAATCGTGCTGAAACCTTGAGTTCAGGCACAGGTCATTACGGCATTGGAAGCATAGTTCGTGGTGGTGGAAAAGTTGAAGCTAATGTGAGTGGGAATACAGCATTTGCCGGAGAATCTGCAATGGTGAAGAGGGCTATGTCGAGTTCGGATCCGGAAGAGGTGAAAAAGGCCGGCAACGAGTTGTATAGAAGTGGCCATATTGTGGAGGCCTTATCGCTGTACAACCGAGCTATTGCCATATCGCCGGACAATGCAGCATACAGGAGTAACCGGGCAGCGGCGTTGACAATGCTTGGGAGGTTGGGGGAGGCGGTGAGGGAGTGTGAGGAGGCTGTAAGGTTGGACCCTGGGTATGTCAGGTCTCACCAGAGGTTGGCCTCTCTTTATATCAGGTCAGTGTAGAAAACTATGACAACAATTTTATGAATTTCGTCAATCTGTTTGTGGGTTGATCATTTGTTGTTGTATTTTTCGAAAAATAGATTTTTTCTCTTTATTACTTGGATGAATGTGATTGGTTTCTGTTGTTGTGATGCAAGTTACGTTTATGTTTTGTTGCATATTGGGTATGATGCAGATTGGGTGATTATTTGATTGTGTCTTTGTGTGCTTGGTTTTGTTTGCTCTAGCTTTGTAATTCAGTTCTCTATGGCTTATGATTGGTTTACAGAGTCCGAGATCTCAGATGCTATTTTTCTTAATTGGTTTGGTTGCTTTTGTTCAATGCATACAAGTTGTACATTGTTATTGGTGGTTCTCTATGGGCTAGCTGCCTGGGTGGTTGTTGATTTCAAGTAATTCATGTGATTCAATTTATCACCTTTTCTTTTCTTTTTTTCTATCTTTATTTTTCAATAACATCTTCAGGCTTTCTGGGTTCAATTTTGCCGTGTCAAACTCATGTTCAGAGAAGGATGGGATTTTTCCTTGGTGGCTGTAGGTTTCATAAGATTCATGGGTCATTTGTTTAACTCTTAGAAGTTAGAACCTTCCGGTTCATGCCTTTTTCTTCTCCCATTTTGTTCTTCAGTGACACAATGAAATCCCAACATGGCTTTCAACATTCCTTATACTTTCTACAGGTTAGGACAGGTTGAAAATGCCCGTCACCACCTTTGTTTTCATGGGCAACAGCCTGACACAACAGAGCTTCAGAAATTGCATTCATTGGAGAAGCATCTTAATCGTTGTTCAGATGCTCGAAAGATTGGCGATTGGAAAAGTGCCCTAAAGGAATGTGATGCAGCTATTGTTGCTGGAGCAGAGTCTTCTCCTCAGGTAAAGTTAGAAGCCTGAAATTTTCACTTGTTTTAATTTGAAATATTATGAAACAAAAGTGGCTAAATAGTTGTTGATTTTACAGATCATTGCTGGTAAAGCAGAAGCCTTTTTGAAGCTCCAGCAACTTGAAGATGCAGACTCTAGCATGTCAAACATTCCCAAATTAGACCCTTATCCTCCTTCCTGCTCACAGACCAAGTTCTTTGGCATGCATTCTGAAGCTTTTGTTCTCTATGTCCGAGCCCAGGTTGACATGGCTTTTGGAAGGTGAGCTTCAGATCATCAAAGATCTGAAAGATAAATAGCTGTGACTCTTGGCCTGAGTGACGATGAACGATGGATGTCTTGCAGGTTTGAGAATGCTGTCGCTGCAGCAGAGAAGGCTGGGCTGATCGATTATAGTAACATTGAAGTTGCTATGTTGCTAAATAATGTGAAATCGGTCACAAGAGCTCGTGCTCGCGGTAAAGATCTTTTTGATTCCGGACGATTTGCAGAAGCTTGCACAGCTTATGGTGAAGGCCTAAAGTACAATTTATCAAACTCTGTCCTTTATTGCAATAGAGGAGTTTGTTGGTCTAAACTTGGATTGTGGGAGCATTCTGTTGAGGACTGCAACCAAGCCCTCAAGATCCAACCAAATTACACAAAAGCCCTTCTCCGCAGGGCTGCTTCAAATGCAAAGGTGATTTAGCATATTTCTCTATGTTATTTGTTTCCATGTTTTTTTTTTTTTTTTTTTTTAAAAATTAAAAGTAATCTGGTTTTTTTAATTTTTGTTTTGAGTTTTATTTTGCTTTTTGTCTCTTTCCTTGTGTGGGTGTATAGCTTGAAAGATGGGTGGAAGCTGTGAGAGATTATGAGGCCCTGAGGAGGTATCTTCCCGGGGACAATGAGGTTGCAGAATCTTTGCACCATGCACAAGTTGCATTAAAGAAATTCCGAGGGGCTGAAGTTCATAGTATGAAATTTGGTAGTGCAATGGTGGAAGTTACTGGTCTTGATCAGTTTAAAGCTGCAATATCTTCACCTGGTGAACCTTGATGCCTTCATCCCAGTACTATTATTCTTCTCTTTGGTTCTCCACTTTTTCTCTTTTGCTCAATATTTTGCCTAAGTTGAAACACCAATATTTCAGGTGTTTCACTTGTTCATTTCATGATGGCATCCAACCAACAGTGTGAACAGATATCTCCATTTGTAGATTTGCTCTGTGCTCGATACCCATCTGTTAACTTCCTCAAGGTAGGTAACCAACATTGGGGCCTCCCCATGTAACTACGTTGATCAGACAATTCTACTTGCTATTGAAATGCATAATATTCCACACTTCCTATACAAATTTAGAATCATCATCATATCACTAATTATTTGCTAAGAGTGTATAACCATTATCAGGATCTGAAAAATTGCAGCATTTTATTATAGTTTCTTTTCTTAAAAAAGAAAAAAAGAGAAGGAAAATAGATTTTTAAAAAAGAAAAGAAACTAACTTATTCAATTTCTGTAATCACTGTGATGGTCTTATGCTTTAAATGTTAAATAAAAGATGGGATTAAATGAGCAACACATAATTGATTTGTTATGGTGATTCATACTTATGTCCTGTTGTCAAAACAGAAGCATAACTATTTTGTTTTTTATTGAAGGTGAACGTGGAGCAGAGCGCAGCAATAGCAAAAGCAGAAAGTGTTAGCCTAGTTCCAACATTCAACATCTACAAGAACGGCGACAAGGTGAAGGAGATCATTTCTCCTCGCCATCAGGATTTAGAGTCCTTGCTGAGGCAGCAGAGTCTGTAGAGCGAAGACCGTTTTGTTTCTTCTTTGCGGGACAAAAAACCCAATCTTCTTTACATCTGGTAGTTCCCAATATTTCATTGATTCATACAAGGATGACAAATTTTATCTGTGATATAATCAACTACATAATTATTTCAGTCTCATGCAGGGAACCCTCGGAGAATGGTACATTTGTAGTTTAATTTATTTAATTCTTGCCATTTTTAATCCATCTACTCTCTCATCATCTTCAAGCTATCAAATTTATTTCCGTCAATTTTTGCATATATTGCCAGTCTTATTTTTTTTTTTTTTTTTGTCTCATGTTATATTTACAAGGAAAATTTTACTCAGACAGATGTAAGCTTTTACTTTATTATTGGTCCCTTTAATGAATTACACAAAAGGGATGGATGAGATTACGTTACAATTGGAGTCCCATATTTTTTTTTGGGTAAGTAATATCATCTGGTAGGTGCTAATGTGTGACACAGCCATCTTTTTCTTTTCCTTTTTCCTTTTTCCTTTTCGTTGCAATTTGATTGATTGTTGGTAAATTGCGTATTCATTTATGCTATGGGTTTAGATGATTTCTAAATGGTTGATAGGTTCTAATTATTTGGTATTCAGCCGATTGACTCTACTAATTTTTTTCACTTAAAGGATATGCGATATCTGAGTGTCTTTAGTCTTTTCTAAGTGAAAACAGTGTTCATGCAAGTAAAGGATCTTTGTTTTGTTTTTATTTTTTTTATTTTTTTTATTGTAATAATATTTGGTACTGTAAAAATAATTGGTAACGATTATTGCAAGTCTAGTGGTATGTGACCCTACTTTCAAATAAAATGTTTTTGGGCCAATTGGGTGTGTAATTTGCGAGGACGAAAAGGAAGTACAAATAACTGAGAGATGAGTAACCCTTGTTATACTTGAAATGTACTCGAGTTATGGTGATGCAACCAGTCAATATATGGCAAATATAGATATAATTATTTGTAATTTAAATTGACAGAAATCTTGGGGTCTATAAAGTTCTCAAAAATAATGAAAACATAGAAACAATCATTATGAATTTCAAAAGATTTACGAAATTAGGCATTTTTCTAGGCTCAATTTCTTTTATAAAATTTCTTTAATTAAACGAATTTTCAAACTGCTTTATACTTTTAGCCATCTGAAATGAAAAAACGGCAATAAAGAATATACTAAACCCAAATTGATCGGAAAGAAAGTGCAAATGCAGTGACCTGTGGCGGTTGAAAACGAAGTTTAGACAGCATGGGCGAGAAAGACTGAATCTACTGAAAATATAGCCGTTTCTCTCCTTGAAAAATGGGTATAGAAAGATCCGAGCTAGCTCATGAGGGAGGATGACCTGTTTTACAGTTGTTATGTTGGAATATCATGATGTATGTCACCCATTCACGCCAAGCGACAAACCCAAACATCATCCTCGCCATCCCTGTCTTGTCTGGGGCATGCATGGGCACGTCATGGGCTAGCACCAGTATTCAGATTATATATATATATATATATATATATATATATATATATATATCTGTACACTATAATGATGCTCTTTTAGCACACGAAAGGAGCTCAAGTCACAAGTAGAATTAGGGGAAGGAAAAAGAAGGTTGTATATGCGTGTTGCATGCATGACTTGACCATTACCCCCTTAATGAATTGTGTTTAATTTAAAATCAAGCTCATCACAGATCCCTTCATCCAAAACAATGCAGAATACACTGCAAAACCTTCAAATGATGCACAGAACAACCAATAATATCCACACCAAACACTTCCAAAACCTAGGAAATGACTCAAATATCTCATAAACTGACATTGATATTACGTACAAAATTGAGATATATGAGCAACAAATTTTTATTATAATCTACAAAAAGTAAATGCCCTTGGAATACATTAAAAACATTAACAGCCACCAGTGCCAAAAAGCCTTAAGAAGATTGATTCCAGGCTGTTCATGCAATATTTTCTTAGCTTTCATTAAAAAGCCAAAGACAACTGTTCAGCTTCACTTACAATTTCAGAAATAATAATACTTGCAAGAAACAAGCACCCATCATCATGCACCAGTCGCATATAAACGGGTCCACTCTTTTGCTGCAAGTTTCCAGAAAATAAATTCCAGTGAATAAAAGTTGCATATCAGAGTGAAATTTATATAAATCAGATGACATAAATCCATCTTTCTTTAAGGGAATAAAACATATTATTCTTTTACAGTTGCACTTGTATACATAAATCCATCTTTCCAAAGGACACACGTCATTCTTTTGTAATGACACTTCTGTTAAAATGACATTTTCATTTAAAGACCGCCAGCAGCATAATTTGTCTTGGTTATATGCTTAATATTTTGCTTATAATAAACCAAACTTTTCTTCTTCTTCCGTTTTTTTTTTTTTTTGGTAGATTGCCTTAGCGAAAAAAATCTTTGCTAGACTAAACATTACCCGTTTCAACAGCTTCAGCTTCATTTCTCTTCCAATGCTTTGCAATGTTCTCTGAAAGTGGATCATCTGGGTTCGGAGCACTAAGAAGTGCTTGGATACTGATTCACAAAATAGTGCAATATTGTTAATATTTAACAGAGTCCCGTGCCAACTACACTTAGCCTATCACATGTGCTTTACATTGAATTTTTTAAGTAGACTTCTACTGATCTCATTTTCCAAGGGAAATCATGACGTTGCAGAAACAATGACTCGCTACATTTAGTCCAAATCATTGTATCAACGAAATCGCCAGAATAAAAAGAGCACTCGACCAAGGGAACACAAAAGTTTCACCTCAGCAATACTGTTCGGATCTGGAGGGCTGGACTCCATTTATCTTTAAGAATATCCAGACATATCCTCCCCAGCTGCCCAAAGAAATCAATGATATTTAGAGCAGGAGATATAAACTTTCAGCAGCAAAGCAAAACAGCTGATGCTACTTGCCTTATCAATGTTAGGATGGTATATTTTGGTCAAGAAGCGGACCTGTAATAAGCAAAATCAAATGAAAAGCTAAAGAAAGGTCAACAGAAAAAGGAAAAAAAAAAATTGGAAAAAGAAAAAGAAATTCAAAGCAGACACTAACATAATTGTTCCCCATCTGCCAAGGTTTGACAAGATGAGGATTAATCTCAACAAAAAATAGATTGGGACAAGTTGGCTCACCAACAAAAAAAAAAATATTGAAAAACCAAATAGGTAATCACGCAACAAAGTTAGAACTAAAATTGGTGTGCAGAAAAAAGTTTACACCACTGTACAAGCACGAAGATGCAAACTAGAATAAGGTAGAGCATATCTCATATGTTGCCTAAAATGTTTTTTTTTTTTTTTTTTTTTTTTTTTTTTTTTTTTTTTTTTTTTTTGTAGTATAACTACTAAAAGATACACTATGGTTTAAAACCAGTACTCAACTCAAGATATTAAAAACAGGGGCAGCATTTAGGAGTGGAAAGAGGAAAAGGGCAGCCACCCACAAGAAGTTGAAAATGTTCTCAAACAAATAATCAGTCAAAATGCATTCGAAAAACATTAGAACAGGCTTTAAAGAAAAGTATTTCAACACAATTTTTTTGAAGGCAACATCAATAACATTAGGCAGCATTTCAAGGGCAAATATCTGTGTTGAAAGTTAGCTTAACTTCATAACATACCCCTGCAAAGGGACAATAATAACAAAAATAAAAGAAATGTAACTTAATGCTCTTGCCAACTTGTTGGTCAATTTATATTACCACAAAAATTAGGCACAAAAGAAGAGGGCATATGATATCCACTATTAAAGAACTTGTTGGAAGATAGCATCAAACTTTCAATATAGGCTCTTTTCGATGAAGCAAGTCATAATAACATGCATCTGAATAGAAAGCAACTTAAAAAAATTGTTACATATATTACTTGAACTTTCAATGAAAAAGTTCAAAAAGCTCCAAAATGACATTGTGGCAACTACTAAAACTTAGAACCTCAGACAAGAAACAAAAGATCGCTGCAAAAATAAAAATAAGCATTGCAATACCTTGGGAGCAGCCATTGGATATTCTTCAGGCAAAAATAATTCCAATTTGAATACCCCTCCTAAATAGATATCAATATTAACAAAAGAATCAGAATATACATTTGAAGTGTGGTGAAGAAAAATGGAGAAAGAAAACAAGAAGAAATGTTTATACAATAATAAATTTAAATAAATAATACTGGCAGGTTAGCATAAAAAAATTCCGATATGCAGATAACGTACACAAAAGTTTAAGATAGATGAGCAGTTTCCAATCTCAAATAATTTGAACACAATGGCATATTTCTGACTTTGAAAATATTTATACCCTTATTACCAGAAAATATGTCCCCGGTATACTAAAGCATTGCTAGCAGTACATCAAAAGATGAGATTGTGCAGTTGATTAAATTTTACTCCCTCCGTCCTCCGTCCCAAAATAGTTGGGTTCTTTGGGAACTGATACCACATTTTCTCCATAAATAAACAATGGAATACTCATACGAATTCAATAAACAAGGATAGGGAGATGGTTACCTTCATAAGGAGATTGTGATGGACCAAGTATCAATACATTGAAATATCGCATGTTATCTTCTGAAGGCGAAGCACTTATTCCTGGAGCTGTATTTACATTTCACAAGTCAGACTCCTTCCAAACAAGCACAGTTTCACACCAACAATTCACACATCTCAATCTAAATCACATTACACTAAAATTAGAGTATAATCTCTATTAATCCACTCTGCTCCAACCTTCCTTCTATTATTATTATTATTATTTTAAAAAAGAATATAACTTTAACTACCACCAAAAAAAGCCATGGATACTTCTCTTCTTAAATTCACTTTTTTTTTTTTTTTTTTTTTCTTTCTTTTTTTCCTGTGTGCGGTGTGTGTGAGAGAGAGAGGACCTGGTTCAGTGAGAAGACGCTGTGTTTCCTGTTGAATCGCATAACCGGGTTAGCGAAAATCAGAAGTAGAAAGCGAATGATTCATATATTATACACATATATAGATAGATATACACATACAGAGTAGAAATTGAGAGATATGGGAAATAAAAAAGAGATCTACGAAGTTGAAATAGGGAGGGAACGGAAAGCAGAAAGTACCTTGATTATCCTTCGAGGTAAATTACTGTTCGCCATTAACTCTCTAGTCTCTCTCTCAGGGTTTTGGTGGTGAACTCAACAAAACAGATGTTAAGGCACGACTTTACAGAGAGAGAGAGAGAGAGAGTCGCAAATGTCCATTATTTGGAGGAACTAGTGGGACCTACTTTGTCGAGTCCAGTTAATAATTTGAGTTCACCTAATTAAACTACATAATTATCCTTCCATTTGGTGAAAAAAAAAAAAAAAAAAAAAAAAAAAAAAAAAAAAAAAAAATTCCTTCCATTTTACCCCCTCCGGCCCTATTTAGTTGTCTTGGAAGCAGCATAAAGAAGAAAATTCGAGTTGAAGGTATAAATTATACAAATTAAACCGCTACAGTAACTGATCAGAGGATACATATGAAATTCTGAGTAAGAAGTACGTTGGAAGTGACATATATCTACTATTCGAGTTTTCCGACTAGGCTCGTTGCCACTGAGAATATCATAAATCGGTAATAATTCGTCTATTATTCCTTCCATGGCTCCATCTTTTTATTTTAAAATGTCTCATTTTAAAATTAAATATATATATATTTTTATAACATTTCTATATTATTATTTTAACTAAATAATTACACTAATTAGGGAGTATTATTTTGTCTTTTAGTAAAAAAATATTTAAAACTTTAACCTTATTAATACAATAAAAAATTATTAAAACTTTACAACCATAAAAAGTTAGAATTCCCCTGAGCATGACATATATTTTGAGAAAGTGAAAGTATGAATCACTGGTCCAATTGCTATCAATGTTTTTTCTCCGTCGCCTGCTGGTCCTATGTTCAATGGTGCACTCTGGGCATTACTAGTCTTGCACCAACACTTTCCAAACACCATCATATTTTCTAACCCAGAAAACACGGAGTAATTATTACAATTGTGTCACTTTGAAGAAAATAAGAAATGTTGGATGATGGTCGTTCATTCTTCCCTTTTGTTGTAACTTGTTCATTCCTTAATTCCTTGGACGTCAGCATTAATAACTTCCATGGCCCTCTCCCTCATCAATTGAGTCATTTACGGTCCACTCAAATCATTTCAATGACCTTAGTGGGGACATTCCTCCAAGTTTCAAAACCATAGTTCTTGAGGATTTAATGGGGCCTTCAATAAAGCCACTTGTTTGCAACTAGTTTTCATTTCTTGTTCCAATCCTAGAAGGGATTACCTGTCGGTTGTTTGGAGTAATGTTTTGGTTATTAAGTGTTATCAGTATATAATTAAGAATCTAGTCTTTATTAAATTTGCAGTCAATATATTCCTTTTTATTTCAACTAATTCTCAATCTTTCTTATTCTAAAGCATTTATCCACATTTCTAGTTTTATTGTTAACTTCTTTTTTACAAGTATTTAATATGACAATATTATCAGCAAACATCATACATTAAGAAATGTATTCTTTTGTTATTTCAGCTTAACACTATATCATTTGCAGTGTGATAAGCCTCAAATAGCAGTATAAAACAACCACAATCATCACAATGCGAGGAGGCAAACTAAAAACATAGCTTACACATCAATTAAGAGCCATTTATACCAATAGTAGGAGACAAACTAACGTCGTTCTCTTAACTTGACAGAGGCTCGACCATAAGTTCATGAATCACGGCATACAATGCCATTTTTTAATTACTCTTGACCCTAAGTTCTCAAAACAAAACCAATATGAATAGCATGGTTTAATAATCATTAAGAATATCAAACCAAAAATCAGGATTATCAAATCCATTCTCCATAAATATATTATTAACCATACAATAAAAAGCTTGCGCGACATATAGACTATATGTTGTACATATATGTTAAGCCAAATCGTACGAACAGTGCATATGATACGTCTAAATTAATTCAGAAGCATATATAATATGGTATTAGATGCCTTTTCTTGTCCCCAAAAGGGCAAAAAAAAAAAAAAAAAAAAAAATTTGGACCTGTGTTCCAGTCAATGTGGAATTATTAAAGTCTCCAGTTCATTACAATTCTACTAAATTTCATCCGAGGCAGCAGTCATCTTCGAAAGAAGCTTCTGAAAAGAAAGACGCACAGGTATGATGGGCATATACTGGCAAATCCAACGAATCGCTAGCAATGAGCTTGTCCTCTTCAACTATTTCAATCTCAGCAGATGTATTTCCCTGTACATCACATATGTTTCTGCTTAGAAGAGGCTTAACTATAAGAAAACAGCAAAGATACTTCAATGTCAACTCCATGAGAAATTCAATAAGCTAATATTGACCGAGAAACTTACTAGTTGGCTGTTGGGAATGATCATGCTTGGTTTAAATTAGTTGACTATATTACTTGAAAACTTCTCTCTCTATCTCTCTCTCTGAAATGCCTTTACAGAGTCAATTATCCTAAGAAATAGTTCATTCATTCTATTTGGATTTTATTCTCTCTCTTCCTATTGAATGAGATATGCTAAACATACCTCATCAATGATCCATTAACATGGAAACAAAATCTTTTATTGATGGTTCAGTTTTAACAACTCATCTAAGTTGCAATTTCAAATTAATCATACTATTTCACGGATTGAGTATCTCTTCATCATGGCTTTTGATATTCAAATTTTGGAGGCAACACTGCAAAAATATCAAGAAACATTCCTGACAGTCGCATGCGGAGGTAAGACTACGTATATTTATGTATATTTGACACTCCCATGCTTCCCTCCAACCCCCCAATTTATATAATTCTTTTTCAGATATTTAAGTACCTTGCCAGTCATTCCTCTGATGTAGCCAACAAGCAATACTTGCATATGCTGATTAGATATATCCTCCTTGCTACCATCAACCGGACATAATCGCTGCGAAGGAGCACAAGAATCGCCATACATATAATCAAATTGACAAAACTTCAAGAATAAAGGATAAGAGTAAGCTTAGAGTGCCCATAACAAGAAAGAATGCATTTTGAGACAAAATCAACATATAAAAGAGCATCTCAGAACTCAGCGCAATAGCGAAAGTTTCTGTATAGCAACTTTCAATAGGGTGCCACCCAGACCTACTTCTCTCATCAAGAAATAGAATTCCATAAAACAAGAAATTTCTCATATAAAGGCAGTTTTTTCTAATATTTATGTAAATCGACTGGGCTCATTCAATATACCAGCATACAGGAAATTCGGAGACCTACCACCATTGATTAATTACTAAAAATAGATATAGGGGTATCAGCAAACTACATAAAAATGAAATAATATATTTTGATTTTCAAGGAATATGAGCATGTAAGGTTGTCAAGCAGGATGGAGTCCATCAAATAAACTGAAAAGTGAAAAAGAAACAAAAGTTCTAGGACATTTTAATATATTAAAAGGTTATAAAGAAAAAATGGAATAGCAAATGCTATGAAGAAAGGAAATGAAATACACAAGGAATCCTTAAACGCTCCTTTATAGACCATGATATCATAATAGCAAAGAAAAGTGTTGAGGGGTTAATTACTGACAATTTTTCTCTTAGCAGTACAGCATCCATGGTCCCATCCAATGCCAGTTACAACCTTGAAGATTTCATCAGTGTCAACTATGCCCCAACCAAAGTAGACTCCTGAAACTTGATCAGGAAGAGCAGACGGTCCACTATCTGAAGTAAATATTCTTTCATCAGTGACTTGTGAACATTGCCACACATCGAGAACTATAATCAATTGCCCAAGCAATGTAATGAACCTATTTGCTTCGCTAAGCAATTATCACAGCACATATAACATTGTTTTTGCAAGCATTACTAGATTATTCTGATGAACCTAATGCTTACACAGACCTCAAGTACAATGCACTCTGTAAACTTGACATAATTAAAACTGTCACAACAGAAAATATAAAAATATATATATTCTAGAAAAACCTGCAAATTCACAAAGAAGCCCATGGCTATATAAACCCTTCAAATGAAATGGTTCAACTGGCAATGTATTGTCCACCCCTGCAATTAGGATCCAATCAAATAATGCAGACAAAGAGGTTAAGAGCAACAAAAGTATTTCGCATTGAATAGATATATACAGTCTTCAAAGGGTGGAAGACCCCACATCTCAGGCTGAAATTCTAGAAGTGAATGAAGCACAGAATCCGCAATATGATATTGCTCAGCTTCACTTTGTAGCGAGGGGATTGCAACTACTTTCATTCCAGCAGCCTTCGCTGCTTTAACACCAATCCTGTTAAAAAAATATAAATTATCAATAGGTCTTGGTTAAGTAAAGTAAGTAAACTTAATTCCAAAGTGATCGAAAGAAGAAACATGTCATGGTAGGTGAAAATTTTCATGTTAACTGTGGGAGGCATGCTACATAAAAACTATAATGTGAGATGTTTTACTGTGGGATGGTGTGACTACCTTCTGCTCTATGTTCATCATTTTCTTTTAGCTGCTTTTGCAAGCTTAATATGTTATGAGATATATAATTGGCTAGTAAAAAGTGATTACCTGTGTCCGTCCTACACTGAGTACTGGGAAGAGAAGATGGGAGACAAAACTAAACATTGACATTGTTTGACACAAAATAGCTGCTTTTAATCTCGAACCGACAACTCACACTTGCCAGATCAGGCTTTTACCGTTGCATCTAGTTCGATGAGCCCATTACGATAGGCTAATGTGCAACTCTGTAAAATCATATAATGCCAAAATGTCCTCCAAGGCATGCAATTTAATGCTAGATAAAAGGCTTAGTAACCATGGGATTAGCAGATTTAAGCTTTACTAGGAGAAACAAAATGTAAGATGTACTCTATAATATTATTCTGACAACTTTTAAGAACTAATAACTCAAAACAAAAGATATTCTAACCGACTTTCTACAAATCACTTGAATTGAATTTACAGTGAGGTTGACTTACAATGAATCTTCTATGACAAGGCAGCGAACTGCATCCACACCCATTTTATTTGCAGCTTCCAGAAATCTGATGGCCATTCGAAAAAAATCGCGAGAACATGTTAACAAGAAATTAATTATGTTATCAAGGATAGGATAGATTTTTCTATTTACAAAAAAAATCTGGAATTTAAAATTTCTTTACTTACAAATCTGGAGCTGGTTTCCCCAATTTGACCTGGTCACTTCCAAGAATTACTGAAAAGCATTCTTTCCAACCTGTGGATAATAATCGCAATAAGTAAAATTAAATTGAAAAACAACACAACCAAGTATGTGCCAACTGTAAACATCAAACAAAACCAAATTACTGCACATGGAACTGCATTCATACGTGGCATACAGAAAGTTGACAAGGCAGAGATATTTGAGGAGAAATTATTGGAAATCCTATGTAGTACCAAGTACAATGATGAGTGATTATTACCTATAACAAGACAAGTGTTTTTTATTGGAAGAGGCACTACAAAGTGGATACCAATAATTCTTAAATTTGTGTGGGAGAGAACAGAGGATGGTAAGATTCACAATGTTTACAAGGTTAAGTTTTACATCCCAAACAGTGTCTGGGAAGTAGCTGCTAAGAAGTGCAACTTAGTCTGCTGAAATTCAGTTCCCTAGCTAACTAAGTTCCATCCTCGGTTACATAGTGAAGAATTGACCATGGTTGAGAATATCATGATAAGACTAACTAACAATGCATAATAACAGAACAATTTTGTTTTATTATTTTTTGTATTATAAGGGTAAAACATGTAGTGACCAATATATATCAGGAAATGAAGAGAACAAAACCCTGTTGGTGAGAGATTTTTGTATCTATGTTTTGGCGTATGGAATTGGAAGCAAGTGCAAAGGGCACTTGATGCTTATGGAGATGCATGATAAGGCGATTGGCACCAGGAAGTGCTTTTGCTTCTACCCATCTGCAAAACAAACAGTTAATACATCCATAATAAGAAAACATTGCAAATGGAACAAAAATCTATTGTTAAAACATGTCATAGTCAACACATTTTTTGGGCATCCCCATTCTGTTGCTCCATGTGTATATATAATGTACTCTATATAGATATGCGTTTAACCCAAATTTGTGTAGACGTGCATTTTTTTTGCGTGGTTATTATAACACGCTTGTGCTCATGCCTACAAGAATTTCAAGGCTTTTATTCCTTTGTTTTTATTAGGAAAATGGCATCTGCCCCAATTTGGCCCAAGCAAGACTCCTTTTTTAAATGCCTCCGAGGGGACTTTGACAGTAAAATTATTCTATTGTGATGTCGAGGTTAGGAAAACAACACGTCTATAAACAGAATTGTGTGACCCTTCAAGATCCTGCAATGGCAGGAGCATCATGCACTGTGTTTATCTTCTAATTTTATATGCGGAGTCTTTTTGACTGTGATACATGAGAGTGTGTATATTTTGAAAGAGAGAGAGAGAGTGTGTGTGTTTACTTTTCCTGATACAGGGGCATAATTTCCTGTGTATAACGATGAGGTGGGATTGGAAGATCATAGTCCTTAATAATAGCTATTGCTGACTCCTTGTGAGTCATGCCTAGCCTCTTATTTTCCTTCTCCCTGTCCAAAACCTTGCCATATTTTGCCAAAAATTGTTTCAAAACATCCTTTGTAGCTTGCTCTGCACAAACACAACCATAAACTATTGCATCATACATAATAATACATGTGATGGGTACCTACCTATATTATCCAGTATATGGGAAATAATATAAAATTTACGACACCCAACCATGGGGCTGTGGGGCTCACGACAACTGGTGAGGTGTGGATTCCATATTTTGTGAGACAACCGCTTGTAAGGTGTGGATTACAATAACATGGCTCATTATATAAATGTATATTACATGCTGCATACGTGTAGATGTAGATATATAGAGGAAGAGAGAGACATCAAATCAACCAAGAAAAGGATTAGAATGAATAGAGGAAATAAAGACCTAGAAAAGTGTTGGAATGAATAGAGGAAATAAAGACCTGTGTTTAAGAGGGTGCCATCCAAATCAAGTATAACAGCAGAAACATGGGTCTCTGTATCGTGGGTTTCAAACTCAAAGTCGTTCATGGCAGATGAATGGGAGGAGGAGAGAAGAGTGTATGAGTGAATTTGGGTAGGATCAAAAAAACAGAAAAGAAGGGAAGACTGCATTTTAAAGATGATTCTAACTAGGGATTGATTCCCATGTTGCAACTGGGCTTAGTGCCTGGTAGCGTAAGAAGTCACGTTAAGGCTGCAATTGGGATTCAACTTGTTAGAGAGAGAGAGAAAGATTATTTCCCACTTTTGTTTCTGATGTCGACAGAAATGGGGCCGAGTTGGAGTAGTCGTACAGAGGCATTTAAACATGAAGGGTTTTGAAGTGACGCAATTAGTTGGCCAAATTTCCTCATTTTTTCATGGCGGCCATCACCATCAGTCGCCCAGCCTCTCCTCAACAAGGTGTACAAATAGCTCTAGGGTATCATCCACCAGACAATTCATCCGTGACTGCAGAAATGAAAAATAATAAATAATAAATAAATTAATCAATGATCAAGGCGGTGGCTGAGCATCCACCACCCAACATCAAGCTCTCTCCTCACCAACTGAAGCGGACTTTGAGCTTCCACATGACCAATTTTAGTGCATTTCGATGTGGAACTATAAAGTAACATATAACAAGATGAACATTAAGAAGTACATATTATCTGTGCGTCACGTGATCATTCATGCTTACCAAAGCAACTATTGATAATCTTTTGGCAAAAGTGCGAAACACTCACTGAGTTATTACCAAAATAGTAAATACTCCCCTAAACTATCTGATGTTATAAATCTAACCCTAAACTATAACAAAGTTGTAAAAAGAATCCCCCGGGCCACATTTTCCGACCACCTCAAAATGACTAAAATAACCACATTTATTAATTTATATAAAAATTGTAAAATATAAAAAATATACAATACCCATAATACCCTTCAAGGACCATATTACAACTAACCAATAGGTCAGACAATTTTTTGCAATTTTGCCTAATAATAATTAACCATATCAATTAATAATAATAATAATAATAATATATGTGAATCACTTTTAGCCCTGCGAATTAACAATAAGGATAATGATAATAATATTAGTAGTGGTAGTAGTAATAATAATAATATTTTTAAATAATAGTAAAAATAAATTACTTAATCAGTTACTTGATGAATCCATATACCTATAAATAATTTTTGTAAACTCACAAATTATAAATAAATAAATAAATTTCAAAAAATTATGTGCTAGTTGAGTTGACTGTGTAATAATAATATATGTATTTTGTGGAGGTAAATAATAGTAATATCCACAACGGAACCATAAACAAAAAGTACAGCATAAACATTTAATTTCATTAACCAATGCAAAAAGAAAGTGATCAATAAATAGATTAAGAATTTACGTGGAATCCATCCGTTACATTAGCTCATTAATATTCCCTTTATTTACCATTGTTTTGGGCTTCATTTGTTTTATTTTTTATCTTTTGATATTTGGTTGTCCAAAAGTTGAGTAAAATAATTTACAAAAACCTAATAAAAAATAATTTTTGCTTTTGTTTTGAAAATTTTTCAGGACCTTAGCCAAACACCGAAATATAAAATTAAAAATATATATTTTATCTTAAAAAATATTTTTCAAGGAAGATATTTTAAAACAAATGAAAATTTGCCTAATTTTTCACTTTTAAAATTATTTTCAATAAACGTATGTATATATATGTTTACTATCATCATTTTTAAAATTTATTTATTCGTGTTTTTTAAATTTTTTTTAAATTTTTTATTATAACAAGCAATTTATTTTTGTTCTTATTTTAAATTTTTATTATTATTAGTACGACAACTAGTATTATTATTATTATTATTATTTATTCTTATTGTTATTATTATTATTTTTAATTCGTAAGAACTAAAAATGAATCAAATGATTCACATATCTTTGCAACGAAGCAATTTATTTTTGTTATTTTACTATTATTACTATTAATACTACTACTACTAATATTATTGTTTAATATTAATATTAATAATAATAATAATATTATTATTGATATTGTTTAGTCAAATTTACAAAAAAAATCACTAAGATTGAGTTTAGTAAAAAGTTTCTTATTTTTTGTTGTCAACCTTTAAAAAAAAGCAAAACAAAAACAAAAATTACGTTCAATAAAATATTTTTGCTTTTCTATAATAAAAAACATTTTCAATTTTTGTGAAGAAAAGAGAAAATATCAAAATAATGTTTCTTATATTTTTTGCTCTGTAGAAGAGAAATGTTTTCACTAATGTTAATTCACAGGCACTATTCATTTCAAATAAAATTCCTATTATTTGTGTTATATACTAAGTTGCATATTAAATGTTAATTAAAATATATATTTTTAATATAAAATAAATTAAATATTGTATATTATTTTTTATTTGATAAAAATATATTTTAATATATAATATATTAAATAATAATGTAAATGGTTTTTTGTAACAAAATAATTTTTGATATAGAATATAATGTTATTAAGTTATTAAGCAGTAAATATTTTATATTATTATATATTATATCTATATTATATTATATGTAAATATTAAATTATAATTAATTTACAATATTATAACACTATTTAAGTTAATACTATTTAAGTTTTTCTGCGTTAACATAGAGGATAGGATTGCACTCCCAGCATCCACAACATAGAAATGCCTATAATGTACTGTAACAAATAAAAATGCAAGCAGCTAAATTAAAACTTGGGGAGAAAGTAAATATGAAATATATAAAGCTCTAGAGAAAAACAAAAAAAAAAAGGTATAAACTCTCAATCTGGATAGTCATTGCAAAATGTTAAACCACCTAGAGCAACCAAACCAATCCTCTGAACTCCACGCACTACTGAAGAGTAAAAGGCTTGGGGATGCAAAACAGATGCCAAGCTTATAATAATAAAACACATTATAACATGATAAGATAAAGATAATCCCCCAAAAAAAATCTATTATAACTGAACACAAATATCCCAGGGTGTAAGGCCTCATCCTCCCCGAATACAAATATGCAGGTGCTAAAGCTCTATCTGCCTCCCTGCAAAATAGCAATAATAATGATAACAATTACTCCCTATTAAATATAATTAAGTATAGAACTCATATATCACAAAAGAACAGTAAGTTTATGAGATGTCAGTATCCCACCTCTGCATCCTCACTAGCACCAGCTTTGGAGGCTGCATCCATTCTATGGGCATCTTCTGTTGCGGTTCAAGGGAAAAACAACAATTTAAAAAAAGTGGTTTTTAATAGAAAATTGGATTCACGAGGTGTTAAGGAACTGAAAACAGCAACAATAGCACATCTTCATGAATTAAAAAGCTAGCACCAACCTAGTCTGTAAAATATATGAAGCATGATGATGTTGGACTGACTTGACAATTTGTAGAATTTATAAGAAATATGTTATAATTTTTAAACAGAAACTCTTCATCCAGTCGATGATGCTTCCTAGTTAGCCAATAAATAAATATCAGGGAACTTGTGTTCCACTTGTAACGTTTCACCAAACAGCTGTTCATCATTCCCATTGCCTTCTGAGAAGACATTATAAAATGTAACATGAGAACATTCTAAATGCATTGCAATGCATTTAGAATGTTCTCATGTTACAGCATCAACTATGAAACATTAAGCAATTCAACCAATGAATGCAGAGTAATAGCACATTTTTCTTATATATTAACCATGGGCCAGTTGAATCCTCTTAACTTCTTAATCTTCAGTCATTATAAATTCTTATATATTCTAGCTCATTATCTCTTTATCATTGTGTGTGGCTAATAATTTTTGTGGGGTGTCCTAAAGTACAAACCCACAAAATCATGACATGGCAATACAAATGTGTACGTATACGAGTGTGCATGCATAGATGTAACACTGGTTCAGTTCTAGGTCTAATATTTTTGGAACCATTGGGGACCGGTTCGGCCCTGGTTCATTCCAATACCGGACCATGTCCACCCCTAAATGCGTCACCTATATAAGTTCATTATCTCTTTAGAAGATTCTAGAGATCGGAATTCAGAAGAGAAACCCTAGTCTCCCTAGCCCTCTCGCCTCACAGAGAAACCTTACCCCGCTCGTCATTTGTGTTCAGACCTTTATAACCCTGAAATCACAAAAAGAGCGTGTATTTTGAGAGTTATAAACCTCCTGATCAAGCTTCTCTGGTTTGCTATTTGGACTTTGGAGGAATACGTTCAATTGATTTCATTTTCATTGCAAATTCTTGTATATTTATATCTTCAAGTCTGTTTGGTTCCCGAGAAAATGGAAGGAAAATGACATTTTACACATGATTTTATATGGATCCATCCAGAAACACCGTCTATATTGTTTTCTCAACTTTATTGACTATATATAAATACATGTGATGATGTTTATTGATTCAAATCCATAACATCAAATAAGTACTTGACATGCACTACCATCTGATCTCTATTTCACCTCTCTTCAATTCTTTATTTACTTTTTATCTCTTTCAAATTAACCTTTCTTAATTATATAAGAGTTGGTTTATTTATTTGTACATTTTTTTTTATTTTTTGTCCAAGCCCAGTTGAAACATACAAACTTGACCATAGTCGAGCTCGGGCTAAGGTCTCTCTAACCTGAGGTTGGGTTCAACCCAGGCTTGGGCAGCCATGTTCTTAGTAGTGTGGGTTGAAAAAGGGTTGATTCAACCCACCCGAGTTGCACTCCTACATGCAAGGACCACAAGTCAAACACAAAAACGATTGTCGAGGCGTGCCTGGTGGTTGACATGTTTTTATTGGTGTAGATCTGTTTTGCAAAAAAAAAAAAAAAGAAACACAACTTCTAAAAGGAATCCAACAAAAACACAAAACAGAGATTTTAGACATTCACCGTATTGTGATAAAAACAATTTTTAATGCACATATTGTTGTCAATATTTTGAATCAAACGTTAAACAAGCCAAACTCAAGTAATTAACTGTAAGTCCATATATTCCAAATACCAACAATCTTTGCATGAATTACACGATATGATCTATTGCATAAGAACATAATATATAGAGCATATTAACAAATGAGGCCGATTGATAGAAAATAAGAGGACAATTTACTTGACAGTAAAAAGAATGTTCTAACGACTTTATGTGTGCCAGAGAGGAAGCGCCTCATCTATCTTAGGAAAAGGTGCTACAAGAGTGTTCTTGACAAGCTTGTTGGGGTTCCAATGAGATCAACTAATCAAACATAAGAGGGCACTTTATCTGAGACTTATCTACTAAAAGGGGCATGTTCTGCTGGCTAATGTGTGCCCAACAGGAAGGACATCAACATTAGCAAAATATCTGTACACACACACGCACTAAAGCAAATGAAACAGAAATAACACAACAATTATTACAGAATCAGAAAACAAACAAATCTTAAGAAAAGTAATCCTGAAACTGAGAACTACATTGCCCAATAAAGTTTTGTCATAACTTATACAATTACCTCCCTCCTCCGGAATGTCCGAAGTCCACAAGGTGAGGTTGTCCCTAAGGAGTTGCATAATTAAGGTGCTATCTTTGTAGGACTCCTCGTTCAGGGTATCAAGCTCAGAGATTGCTTCATCAAATGCTTGCTTTGCGAGGTGGCAGGCTCTGAAAAAGCAGGTTCCACATCAACTTGGATATAAAGAACAGACCAATTCTATTGACTTTCAGGCTGAATATGAGATCCTACAAACCTTTCAGGTGAATTCATAATCTCGTAATAGAAGACTGAGAAATTTAAAGCCAAACCCAATCGGATAGGATGCGTGGGAGGCAAATCAGCCTCTGCAGCTTTGGTAGCCATCTGCAAAAAGATTAAAAAACATATATACATATATATAAAGGTATAAATAGATAGATAAATGAGAGAGAGAGAGAGAAAATAATAATAATAACAATAATGATAATAATGCTTTATTTCTAATTCCTAACTGCCAACTGCTATAAAATACACACATATAAGGAACACTAAGTAAATGATCTAATCTCGACTTCTTTCAACCAACTATAATGATAAAAGAATATATGATATCAAGTTCATGCCAAACATAAGTTTGTTATTATGTGCAGAAAATTGAGAGGAACAAGAGGTACAAAAAGGGAATAATGAATGCAAAAAACTACTCTTTATACTGATTACTGAGGGAAAAGGATGTTGGTCCTGCCAGCACAGGGTGTCGGATGAGTGCACTGGGTAGTGACCTCAACTCCAGAATTATCTACATTGCATCACTCTGTAAAATCCTATACCTAGAAGTCATGGAAGTAACTAAACATCAAGTTATGTAAGGGTGAATCCATGAAAATCGTCTGTCATTCATTTCTGCCAAAAAGCCTCTATATTTTCTTTTCAATATTGTCCCTTCAAATTGATTCATAGCCAGTAGTATGTGATGAGGTTTAGAGGTATCGTACAACCCTTCTTCTCACATTCACCTCTTGGGTTGGCGGTTTTGTTGAAATAACAATGGTCATGTAAAATGATGAAAAGAAATAGATACAGTGAATTCTCTGAAATCTTCAAATGTAGATAAACAATTCAATAATGACCTCAGAATAAGACTGGTCTTAGATCTCTAGCAAAAATGAAACCTGTCCCCAAGGACCTTCGCTTATATACTCAATCAATATGATTATAGAAAGGAAGCATCCTCTACAGACATCTCAGCCCAAACTGAAGCATCCCTAGAACAGCAAAGAAAACCCAGAACTTCCACCTAAACCATAACCGTTATAAAAGCCAAACTAAGATAATAATGACACATAAATTTCTCTGAGAAATATCCCCAAATAAGAAATGAGGATAAATTAAATAGTAATAATATATAAATACCACTATCTGCTAGAGAATTTGACACTTGGTTGAAGAGAACAACATCTCAAGTCAAGCACAAACTGAAACCATGGTATAAGAAAAAATATAGGTTGTTCAATAATATTAAAGAGTGAAGTTTATTGATCACGTGATCATGAGATTTCTTATTAAATCCCAACAAAAAGTTACTTCTCTGAACAACTTTGCCTCAGATAAAACTTTAAATAGCAATGTTGACATAACATGCACTAAAGAAAGAAAGAAAAAACAAGATAACAATTAACACCATTACCCAATAGAAAACAAAAAAAACCCATCCATAAAAACTGCCAATATCAAACGATTCCAATGTCATTAGAAATTTCTGTTTCATAGAAAAGTAAATATAAAAATATTTAAACGTTGCTGCCAAATAAGTGAATAAAAGTGAACTAGAAAATGGAAGACAATATACCTCATATGCTTTTAGTGAATGATCAGCAACCTCTTTTCTCTCATTACCAGACTTGAACTCCGCAAGATACCGATAGTAATCCCCTTTCCTACATCCAGCAGAAACTTCAAATCCTAAATATCCTGGTAATGTCAAAACAAAAACACAACAAACACATCATCAACTCTAGGTCCCTCACATTTTGTAGTAAAACACAGTCGATTCTCCGGCTGAACATGAAGGAATGAGATGCCCATCGATCAAAGCCATGATATCGTTACAAATGTTTGTAAGCTCCAACTCAACCTTCTGCCGATACTCCTTGATCCGCTTAGCGTTCTGTTCGTTCCCTCTCGATTCTTCCTTCTGCTCGATCGATGACAGAATCCTCCATGAAGCTCTCCGTGCACCGATCACGTTTTTGTATCCCACAGAGAGTAGATTTCTCTCTTCAACAGTCAATTCAACGTCAAGTTCCGCAACCTTCTTCATCGAATCAACCATCTCTGTCAAAACCAAAAGACAAAAAAGGAGAACTTTGAATCATTTATGAAGTAATAAACCCTACCCTGTGTTTGGTTTCTGGGAAAAATAAGAACAAACTGAGTCCAGTTGAAGTCAAAATCTAATACTATAATAATTTCTTTGCTTTTTTCTATTTTCCTAGTAATCAAAGAGAGCAGAATCCTAATAAGTGAGAGAAGTAGCAAATTAAAGTTCTCATAGATATCTAGAGAGAGAGAAAGTTAGACAGATAGAAACCCTAACCATCGTAGCGCTCGGCCTGTTCGGCAAGCTTGGCGACGTAGACAAAGTTGTCGCGTTCTTTGGAGGAGGCCATATCCGATCTGAGAGATTTTAGGGTTTCTGCAGGGGAGGGTTTAGTAAGATTTCTCTCTGGCGTTGCCCGAGAACGACTTTTGGGGGCAGACAGAAAAACGAATGAAAATGCAAAGAAAAAAAGAGGAAAAAAGGTTGAAATATCATTGAAAAACTAAAAAAAAAAAAAAAAAAAAAAAAAAAAAAAAAAAACAAAAAAAAAAAAAACTTTCCTGAAATATCACTTATGTCCTTTGTAGTTTTGGTAATATTACATTATTATTCGCTTATTTTTAAGATTGATTGTGAATTTTGTGACACATCATTAGCGAGAATGTCTTGACTATCTGTTTTAATTATAGTTTGACAAAGGTGACTCGTATTTAATGGAGTCAGACAAGTCAGTCATTACCTTTTTTTTAAAAAACAAAAAACAAAAGAAAAAATGGGGTCTTCATTTTGATGGTAATTGACATTTTACTGAGTATTCCATGGTATTAAAGTTTTGAACATACACCGGCTTGATTGCAAGCTTTGACAGGGATGTCTCCCATTTGCCCTTGACTATACGCTGTCACCGCTTCTGTGTTGGGCTAAGCCCAATGATAGGCTTTTGTTGGTTATTTTGTTGGGCCCTATCCACTAATAGTGGGCCGGCCTTTATTTTGGCAACTTTTGTAAAATTTTACCATTTATACAATACTTGCTTACCTTCCAAAAAAAAAAAAAAAAATGGGTTTTGCATTCTGAGAGATTGTTATAAACTTTTCACAGTCTTCGATTGGTAGGTCTCGCTTTGTTTGGAACAAATTCTTCTGGGTTTTGTTTTGGAATTAGGAAAAGGAAAAAAATTACTCCTATATATATTGGATTTGAAATGAAATTTGATGTGGGTATTTAGAATAACTTGAAATTTAATTATAAAAAATAAATTTGTATTATTTTGTCCTTAAAATAATAATTGAAATATTTTGTTTCAGTAAAAAGAAAGTAAATCAAATTAATGTATAAATTCAATCAAATTCCACCCATTTTGATGGAATTTGAAGACATCACAACTCTTCAACTTTCCTTTTTAACAACATGAATGGTCACATTTAATGTGAAAACTAATCCTCATATACGCAGCATAATCATGGGAAATTAATTCAAGAAAATCCAATATGAATCCTAAAAGTTTGTAGTTGAAAATCAATCTTGAAAATTCAAGTATCTAGAGTTACTATTTGATAAAACTGAAAATTTGTAAAATTAATTTTTTAAGCCAGTGTCAAAGTTTGTAGTGTTATTTGGAAAGTAGGAAGTTTAGAACAGTTGTTTGAATTTCAAGTTCTTAGTGTTTTTTAAACACTGGCTTGAATTTCTTGTAGTGGTGGAGATTATGATACCAATTTCTTAGTGTTTGTTTTATGAAATAATTCTATTTTTTTCTTTTACATAATAATCAAATTGTGTTTTTTATTTTTAGTTTAGAAGTACCAAATCGACGCTTTGAAATGAACTAAATTGTATTGATCGATTCCAAATTTATTCAAATCCCTAACCTTATTTTAATCTATTAACGGTCATAGCTGAGGCCTTGTTGTGAAAAAACTCACTGCCAATCTACCCTAGCTCCTTAAACATGACGATGATTTAGAAGTAGAGGAATTCTACAAGAACTTGTGTCATTGTTAAGCAGGCTGAAAGAGATGTAATACGTGCAGCATTGCAAGCAACGATATGAAGGTGATGCTTAATTGATTAATTGGAGAGGGTGATATGAGAATATGGATAGAACATCTATCCTTTTGGGTTATATATCTTATATTACCTCTCTCAAACCCAAAAACTAAAGCTTATTAAATATTTTATTTTCAAGCCCATATATTACTTTCTTGTTAAAGAAATTAAATTAAAACCATTGAAGAGCCTTATGAAGAATGTTCTTTTTACTTGAGACACTGGGTTACTTTTAGATGCATACTATAAAGAGTCCTAACTCTTACTTTGTTCTAGATCCTATTATCAGCTTCACCAACTTAATTAGCTTGATAAGTGCTGTACAATTAGGTTGGTCAACACCATGTGGTATACATATTACATAAAATTAATGTAGCAAGTTCTCAATGAAATGAAGGGGTGAATTAAAATAACATGAAAATTAAGTTTTTTTTTTTTTTTTTTTTTTGGAGTTTTAGCAATACTAATTCTATTGTTCTGAAAACCCTATTAAAAAGTAATTGAAATGGCTAGGCTGAGGACTGTTTTGTTTATGTCTTGTTTGTCTATGTTCTTTCTTGTTGCTATGAATTTTAGATGCATTCATTTAGTTTGCATCCAATACTTGTCAGCCTATAAAAAGGAGAAAGGAAGGCGAAGAAAAGAGGATGATGACTCAAGAAGAGATGCTTCTAAGAGCAGCTCAAACAGGTTTAGGCCTTGGTGTTAATTTTAAAATATGGTATATAAATCATTTGTTTTATAATATGAATTTTCAGGTTGCTTCTTGCTTACAGGATGATCTCAATTTGTGTTGTGTGAATTTTTTATGTTGCAGAAATTATGAACTAGAGGAACTTGGAGGAAGGAAGAAGTTAAGAAAAGAGCAATTGTGCATAAAGCAGTTTATGGTGGCCCTCAGTTTCGATATCTTTCTAGAAATGGTAAACTTTCCCCCATTACTCACTAATCCTGAATTTTATTCATGTGCCAGAATGAGAATGTGCGACTTAATTCTCACTTTCACAGTGCAGCTGAATAAAAGTTAATCCGTTTTTCTGCAGTTATATATTCCTAGCTCTTTAATTGCTCTTTATTGCATTACAATCTATGTTACGTAGACTCTCTAATCCCCCATCATATATGTACCCGTGTTAATGCATGTTTTTGCAGGTGATTCGTTTATAGAATTCACTGGAAGATCGTCTTGCCAGTCAGAGATTTCCACAACTTCATCTCCATGTAAGCATACTATAATTTTTGTGCTCATGAGGGTGTCTTCATATGTGCTGAAAGTATTGACAATGCCTTCATGTCTATGGATGTTTAGGTGTCTTTGTGTGTGCAGGGGAAGATTACTCACTGTTCTTCATAATGTTGAATCTATTCACATGAGTGTCTTCACTGTTCTGCGCGCATGATGTTGAATCTATTCCTCAGCCCACTTTGCTTGTGCGCGCACTATGTTTGGCCGGGATTAATGGATGGTCCAGGCGTATTGATGTGGATTGTTTGTTCCTTGTTAGGGTGTTTGTGTAAATTAGTTCGATGTATTGTATGTAGTGTTGTTTTGGTTGGTTGTATGGTGTAAATGCCGCATGGTTGTTTCTTATTGTCAGGAAAAAAGAAAAGAAAAAATAAAATAAAGTATTAGTTAAAGATTCTGGATCATTCCATTATTTGTAATGCCCTCTTATTTATATTAATATGTAGATCCAGTTATTTCTATAGTAATAAAAATAGTAAAGCAAAAGGGCTATGTTTGATTTAATGCATCTTTTGGTTTCTTTCCATTGGAAGGGGGATATCTGAGATCAAAAAGGTTAAACATAAAAATATGACTCATTTGATGGAGAAAATCATGGAACCAATCCCATAGATCTAAATTAATACGAATTTCTTTAGCCTAAGTGCTTTGGAATTTTATTTTATTTTTTCATTGATTTTGCTATAGGTTCTTAAAATACAGGCATGTAGGGTTAATTTTGTGTTGTTTATTGATTGTTTATAACTTCTTCTTTTTTGTTCAAGATGCATTGTCAGGTTGTCATTCTTGTTGTGGTTAGGGTGTTCAAAAAATCCAGAAAACCGAAAAAGGGGACCGGATCGGACCGAATTGGACGATTTGGGTTAGTTGTATAGCGGTTTGATTCGGTCCTGGGCCCAAAATTATGGAACCGTAATTTTTCGGTCCGGTTCTAATTTAAGGTCGTGCTGGATCGAACCAGCCCGGACCGAACCGTTACTATGTTATATATATATATATATATATATATATGTATATCATATCATAAACCTAAATCAAGTAAAGTTCTCATGTGCCCCATTTCTTTCTTTTGTTCTTTAAATTCCTTAAATTTCTTTTAAAAAAAGTCAAATTTCCCTTTTCAAATATATCTCAATTTTCTTTCCTTTATTTCTTCTTAAAATTTATTTATTTATTTATTATTATTATTATTTTTTGCGTATTATATTAATGTTAGTTGATTTTTTTAAAAAAAAAAACTTCGCCCCCTCTAAATTAAAATAAAATAAAAAAGAAATCAACCGAAACCGACAAACCGAATCAAAACAAACCGATTTTTCGCGGCTTGGTTTGGTTTGATTTCATAGACATTGTGGTTCGGTCTGATTTCAAAAATAGTGGAACCGTTATAAATGGTTTGGTCCCAAAATACTTCCAATCCGGCTCAAACCGGACCGTGTGCACCCCTAGTTGTGACCATCCTACCACTCAGTCTCAGTTAGAAGGAAAAGATGAGAATATAAGGTGGAACATCTCGCGCTCAATGTACATTTTTGCTGGTTTGCTTCATGGAACTTGATGACTAAGTGAAGACAGTGTATAAAAATTAGCAATCCATAGTGAGCGGTTCGGTTAATGGATTGAATCCTAAAAAAATTGAATCGATCCGTTAACCGAATTGATCCGATCCATGAACTATATATATATATACAGTAATATATTATTTCTATTTATTTATTTTTTATTTGTTTTTAAAATTCAGCCTTAAGTTTCTAACCCTAGGCTTTCTAACATAAGGTCTATGCCACCTCCTAGTCTCTGTCTCTCGACTATCTCTTCTTCAGTTCCTCATATCTATTTATATGCACATGATGTTTACCTTAAGTTATCTTATACTCTTTGGATGTTACTAAACCATTTAATTGAAGTCCAAAGAGCTGGGTTAAGGCTGCCCACACTGAGTTTGATTGTTAGCGGTTAATTAAGACATGATACTGCTGTTGCTGTTGGTGCTGCTGAGTTTGGTTGGTGCCAAAGTGATGAAATGCCTACCCATGGGGTGAAAATTGGGGATGCAAACCTCTTTAAAAAGATTTCCATTGGCGGCTGGGTGTTTCGCGGTTGCTATCTTAAGCCGCTGCACTACAATATAATCATATTGAACTGTTTGAAAAAGCCTAATTTGTAAGAACCGAACCAAACCAATCCTTTATTTCACGGATCGATTTGGTTCGAATTGAGAGTCCTCATGGATCGGTTCGGTTTTAGATTTAACCAATCCGTGAGGACCGGATTGGTTTGAATTTTATCCAAAATCGAACTGATCTGATCCGTGATCAATCTTAACTTTAAGGTGTTTTTTGCACGTGGGTGTGAGATGCATTATAAACATACTTTAGGAGTATTTTCTGCGATTAACCCATATTAAATATTTTGCAAAGTATGCATTCAATTTTGTGTTTACTTTTTAATTTTTAAACTATAGTTTCAATGTCAACTAGTTGTTTTAATTGAATCAGATCATAATTGTGCCTGAAATTACAATAGAGCCAGCTGTGCATAAACCGCCACTAAACTTCCACACTGATTTGTACTAATTCTTATCGCTTTGGATGAAATCACACCGCTGAAATGGTTGTGATCAGGTGATTATCACAATGGCCACCCTAAAACCCAGTTTCCTATTCCGAACTATATAAACCACACTTATATCCTCTTTGTAATAACTCTCTCCTGCGAACAAGCTTTTCCTTGCTCTTCAAGAATCTCGTGCTTTCACTCTCCTTCTCTCTCTAGGGTTTTCTCTCCAAAACCCTACTCCTCCCCCTTTATCTCTCTCTATATTACATATCTCATTCCCTGTAATTCGCATCTTCTAGTGTTTTCAGAGTACCATAGGGAAAAATGGGGTTCCGCAGAGGTGATCAAGTTGAAGTTGCGAGTAAAGAGGAAGGGTTTCTTGGTTCGTACTACGCTGCGACAGTGATTGTAGAGATTCTCAAGAAGGAATACATTGTGCAGTACAAGACCCTGTTGAAAGAAGATATGTCCGGACCCTTGAGAGAGATTGTCACCGCCGGCGAGGTCCGTCCTTGTCCACCTCAAATTCCGGCGACTTCCTTTGGTTTGTACGACACGGTCGATGCTTTTGACAACGATGGTTGGTGGGTCGGAAAGATTGCTGGCAAAGTTGGGTTGGAGTACTTGGTTTATTTTGAGACTACAGGGGATCAGATCGCTTACCCAATGAGTCGGCTGAGAGTTCATCAGGAATGGCTGAATGGCAAGTGGATTTCTACCAATAGGAGGTTGTCAATCATATGATTCCTCTTTCTTCTTGGAATTTTGATTCTTACTTCATATATGTACTAAACCCTGCTTTAACTCTGTCTCAGGCCTTTTGTGTTTGCAATGTTCTAGGTTTTCTAATGGAATTATTCTTTAATATTAGTCTCTGATTATGTGTTATGGATTTTCTTTCTTCTTTCTTCTTGTCGAGAAGCTTTAATGATGTTTTATGATCTTGATTTTGCTTCGATTTTCAAGATTGATGCTATAATTGGGTTGTTGTTTTACTATTTCCATTTTTTTTTGGTTTTTTGGGAATTGGTTTGTGCTCGTTTAATTTGGGGGCTCTATTTCAAGTTTAATTTGTGATATAATTGTGTATCACCCTTATGATTTATTGTTCCTGTTGTGTTTTAATGCTATGCTATGTAGCCGTGTTAATTCTGTTTTTTTTACTTTCTTCTTTTTTCCCCCTTTGTTTTGAAATCCTTGAATGGGTTAGCAGTTTGGTCACTGGCACTCTCTTTACTTTCTAATGCAAATTCTTGTTTAGCCTCTTGTTTGTTACTATGTGGTTTAATTTTTGTGTCTGCCTATTTCCTATTTGCTACCTTAAAACTCATTAGTCCTTCTTAATGGTAATTCTGTGAGTGTGTGTGTGTGTGTGTGTGTGTGTGTTTGTGTTTGTGTTGTGTCTATATATATATATGTATGTATGTTTGATGTTGTTAACTCTGATTAAGGCTTGAATTGAAGCCTCTCCTATTGTTGAAATATTTGTGTAGCATATTGTGGGTTTCCCTTTGAAATGGGAAATTGGTGTAGCTGAGGAGTGAGATTTGATGTGTGTGTGTTTTGACAGGTTCTGTAGTAGTGATGGGTCAACAGAAGATTGGTAGAGTAAGAATGCCCAAAGAGGAGGATTGACGAATATGGATGGAGCAGCAGCAGCATAACATAGACATGGGATCATCTATCTCATATGGGGCTTTACATTAAAAGGTTTACCATTATTATGTATCTCTCTTGTTAGTATGGAGTGTCACTATTCTGTTCAACTCATTTGTAGAGTCAATTATGTGAGTTCTGAAGCTGCTGCATGAACTACATTGGTTATTTCTGTCCTCCTCCTTTTGGGAAAAGAATAATTAGTCTAATTTCACCTGTTTACTTATGATCTGTAGTGGTGAAGTGAAAGGAAACTTTCACGTCAGATTTTGCATAGTTGTTTTTGATAGTTTCTGTATAACAAATTAAAGTTTACTTTCATCCATCTCTTATTTTCTTCTGCAAACAACTGTTGTGTGTTGTTCATATGAATACAACCATAATCTTCCTTGGTCAGAAATGACAGTGTGAGCAAGATTGTTAAATTATAAACATGTTTTGGTTTCATATCACTTCATGACAGGAAAAGATTCTAGCTCTGTAAAACACCACTAAACATTAATCTTCTTGCACTTGGCTTGTTATTACCTCTGTATTGAAAAATTAGGTTGTAGTCGCAGCAGTGATTCTGCAGATAATTCATGTTTTTCTTGCATCCTGTTGTATCCTGTTGAAGGCGAAGAAAAGAGGATGATGACTCAAGAAGAGATGCTTCTAGAAGCAGCTCAAACGGGTTTAGGCCTTAGTGTTAATTTTAAAATAATGTATATAAATCATTTGTTTTATAATATGAATTTTCAGGTTGCTTCTTACTTACAGGATGATCTCAATTTGTGCTGTGTGAATTTTTTATGTTGCAAAAATTATGAACTTGAGGAATTTGGAGGGAGGAAGAAGTTAAGAAAAGAGTAATTGTGCATAAAGCAGTATATAGTGGCCCTCAGCTGAATAAAAATTAATCCTTTTTCTGCAGTCATATATATTCCTAGCTCTTTAATTGCCCTTTATTGCATTACAAATTTACAATCTATGTTACATAGACTCTCTAATCCCCCTATCATGCACCCGTGTTAATACATGTTGCAGGCAATTCGTTTATAGAATTCAGTGGAGGATCGTCTTTCCAGTCAGAGATTTCCACAACTTCATCTCCATGTAAGCATACTAAAATTTTTGTGCTCATTAGTGTGTCTTCATATGTGCACAATGTTGAATCTATTCGCATGAGTGTCTTCATATGTGCCCAATGTTAAGTCTTTGTGTGTGCATGGGAAAGTTAGTCACTGTTCTGCATAATGTTGAATCTATTCACATGAGTGTCTTCATGTCGTGTGCTGAAAGTATTAGTTAAAGGATTCTGGATCATTCCATTATTTGTAATGCCCTCTTATTTATATTAATATGTAGATCGAGTTATTTCTATAATAATAAAAACACTAAAGCAAAAGGGGCTATGTTTGATTTAATGCATCTTTTAGTTTCTTTCCCTTGAAAGGGGGATATCTGAGATCAAAGAGGTTAAATATAAAAATATGACTCATTTGACGGAGAAGATCATGGAACCAATCCCATAGATCTAAATTAATACGAATCTTTAGCCTAAGTGCTTCGGAATTTTTTTTTTTCCGTTGATTTTGCTATAGGTTCTTAAAATAGAGGCATGTAGGGTTCTGTGCTGTTTATTGATTGTCTATAACTTTTTTTTCCTTTTTTTTTTGTTCAAGATGCATTGTCCGGTTGTCATTATTGTTGAGGCCATCCTACCACTCAGTCTCAGTTAGAAGGAAGAGATTAGAATAGTGGTGGGTGGGAAGACAGACCTCGAATCCTTGTGTTCTACTGTCTTAACTTTCCAGACATTGATAATTTGTAAGCAGCCTTAGGATTGGCCCCATGTTTTCCTTAGTTTGTAGTGGAATTAGGATGTAAAATGTTGCCTTAATGTATAACATGAAACTCTCGCTGTCCTAAGTTTGTATATAAGGTGGAACATCTCGCGCTCAATGTAGTTGTGGGACATATGATCTTCTGGGACCTTGGCAATTCATCCTCTTTTAGGTTGATTAGACACGTGAAATCTGTGTTGAACTTTTAGCCCTGTTTACTACAATAATTTTGGTTGATGCAACTTGTTTTGACTACCATGCCTCTGTTTTTATTTTTTACCTTCGGTTGATTAGACTTGAATTCCATGTAGAACTTTTAGCCCCGTTTACCACAGTAATCTTGGTTGATGTAACTTGTTTTGATGACTATGCCTCTGTTTTTTATTTTATTTATTATTTAAATCGAAATTATACCTGTGTTTATATTGTTTAAAATGAGATTATGTATATGTAATGATAGTTGTAGTGACAAGCATATATAATAACATTCACCTGCTTTGCAAAAACAAATATTATATTACATGTTAAAGAAGCTATAGCTAACGTGTGGATAGGACTAGGATGCACATAATGTATTTGATCCCAGGTCCTAAAATTTGCTGGGCTACTTTGTAGGTTTTTGTGCGAGAATAATAGGATTAGAGAGGAAAACAACATGGGGAGTCTATTTGGTTTAATTTATGGGCAAGGATTTGGTCCAAAGCCGAAGAGATGAGTGATTTTAAATACTCGTAGGGAAGCATCTTATATCCAATTTTGGGCTTAAAATTCCAGCTCCTGAAAACCAGGATTCAGATTAGCTATGTTAGTACCAAGTTTCTTTTGTATTAATTTGTACATGTATCTATATTTGCTGGTAGTACCGCTTTCGATTGGGCTTGAAAATTTCAATGAAGAGAATTCGCTCAATCTATTGTGTAGAGTGAGATGTGAATTTCATGGTAGCAGATCCCTCTTTGGTCTGCAATTAAAAGTGTAATGGACCCTTTAGAACTTGATGACCAAGTGAAGACAATGTATAAGATGGCATGATACACACAGAATACCGTGTCAAGTTCTAAAGAAAATTCTTTTTATGAGGATTGTCAATTTTTTTTTAATCTTTCATTTTCCAAACGAGCTGTAAGGTATGTATGAATCCAAACCCGAGAGAGCCACACACACAAAATAAAAGAACAAAAAAAAAGTTTCATATTTTGAAGCCATTAGCAAACATCAATTGATGGATTTACATGAATGTATGTATATTATTAAGTAGCTTAAAAACTATATGACATATAGAAGCTCCACTTGACTACTATAGATAAAGTTACTTCCACTTGGGGAATACTGGGGGCAATAGAGGAGGTAAAATTGTAAGCAATGATTACGGAAGCACTTGGCTGGTAAATGAATGAGGTTAAAGAAAGACAAAGAATCAACCTGCATTGTTAGAATTCCCAGTTAAGAGAGAAGTATTGTTCCTCTCAAGCTTTTTCTTCCAACACTGGTGCTTCCAACACTGACGCTGACTCCTTTTCTTTCCACCCAACAATTCCTCTTCATGTCTTCCAACAACACTACTCGTTCCAAGTGAAACCGACCTCGCAACCTCCTCAGCCACTGCTCCATGGTTCTCAATTTCCCCCAAACAACCTGTAGATTGAATCTCCTTGTTTTTGAGCCACAACTGTCTCATCCTTTCCCTGATATCACAACCCTGTTCCTCATGCTGTCCATCGCAAAACCCACACTTGACCTCCCTTTTCCGGGCCACTCTAATGCTTCTCACTTGCTCCCAAGTGAAAGCCAGTCCCAATGCATCATCTAACGAATCAGGTTTCTGTGGGATGATCCAATCCTGAATATCTTCCCTCAATCCGTCAATGAAAATCCCTTTAAGCAAAGTTTCTGGAATTCCATGGTCCGGCCATCTCTTTATAATCCATTGTAGTCTCAAAAAGTAGGATCGTACCGGTTCTTCCTGACCTTGGTTTAACATCATAAGTTCAGATCGAAACTGACCAATAAAATCATTCCTACGATACGCCTGCAAAAAAGAGGACTTGATTTCTTCCCAAATAAGCCAAGGATAGGGTTCAATGTTAAGATCATACCAAAGGGCAGCCTCTTTGTCAAGCGTAACGGGGAATATCCTGATCATCATTTCAATGGAGGACACATTGTTTGCGCGACAGACTTTGGCGAACCGGCTTAAATGAGTAACCGGGCACTCATCAGGTGTGCCATTAAAGACCGGAAGAGGTGCAATGTTGATGTAAGAAGCGAATGGGATAATGGGTTGTAACTCATTAGGAGAGTTTGATGCGGAATTGTTCAAAGAGGGTATTGCATGATCAAAGGTGTTGCTAGTAATTTTATGGGTACGAAGTGATTGGGGCACTGGCAATGGAAGATGATGATTGGTAGGGGCATTCAATTTGGTTATAGTTTCGGATCCCATGTATGCACTACTATTACTACCCTCAAGGCTACTGGGTTGTTCATCATCTTCATAGTCCTCTGATTCAATTTGCAGAGAATCGGATCTAGAAGTTTCTACTAATTTATCATCTATATGAGTGTTTCCTTTAGGAGTTTTGCGATGATGCTTGTGTCTTGAGGTGTTGGAGGGCAGTGTTTTCGTAGAAAATTCCGGCAATTGGGATTTTTGTCTGGTCCTTCGGGTCATCTCTGCTTTTGCTTATGGTTTGACAGAGAATGAGAAATGTGGATGGGGATATTGGGGCTTCGGAAGAACAAAACTGCCGGTTCAAATTAGTTATATTGTAAAGGCGCTTACAGAACCGCAACGGTTGGTCTTTGGGAGATTTTGTAGTGAATGGACTTGATGGAATCAAGTTGTGAAGCCTTTATGAACCCAAAGTTACGGAACCCAGTTTGAAATCAGCCCAAGTTCCTATGAACATCAATCAAACTCTCTCTAAAAACATTATATGGTTAAGAATGGAAAATATATTTTTATTAAAAATTACTTACAGCCCATTACGGTAGTATTTTCAAACAGATTAATTTCCAACATTTTCAAGACAAGTGTCATAGTAACTGTCTATTGATTGTTCAATTGGGACAATTTATAAAAGGATTTATTTGTCTGTTCATAAATTTCAAAAATTGTTTCACTTCAGCAATTAATGAATAGATCGAGTTGCAGATGTCTTGATAGCTCAGTTGGTTAGTGGCTGAAGTGAATTTTGGAGTGTCTACTTCAACTCTCTACATCTACTAATTTAATTTCTAACATTTCTTGTCTTATTAAAGTAAAAAAATAAAAAAATTCATGGAGTTCAAGATTCTTACGAGGGCAGAGACTATCATAATATATTCTTCTCATTTAATTGTTTCATAGAATTTATTCACTGGCAAACCAAAACATAGGTCATTCACCTATTTATTAAAGAACAAGATCATCTGTTAGTGAAAATAAAAAGACAATTGAATGCAAAATAAAGAAAGAAAGGAAAAAGAAAAAGAAGAAGATTGCATCTTATTTTAAGAAATACATCTCTTTCTCACCACTAAACCCGTATAAATTTAACCCCACACACACACACATATATAGGGTAATGTACTTAACTTTTGCAGAACTTAAAGACTTATAATCACATAATTGAACAAGCATGAGGGTTGTCATCACTGAACGCAACTCCGGTTTGGTCCCCAAAAATGGTGGAATGTTGGGGATGGTGATAATAACCGCGGTCATGGGAGTAGCCGTGCTTATAGTAGTTGTAAGAAGAGGATGGCTGGGACTGGAAAGTGTGGTAATACTGTTGGTGATTATTATTATTATTATTATTATTATTATTATTATGTTGATATTCTTGGTTGTAAGGAAATGGCCACAACTCAGCTCTTCTCCCTGTTTTTCTCACTGTCTTCAGAACTTTCTTCTGCTCAGCCCATCCCGTCACTGTCACCTTCTGCATGTCCATGTCAATGTCTACATCGTCCACTCCTGAATCCATGCCATACAAATTAATTAATTCATGTTTCATATAATCTATCTACCATTACTCCCAATATTAATTGAGGTACAATTAATTGTGCATGTTACCTTTAAGTTTTTGAAGAGCTTTCTTAATCTTGCTCTCACATCCAGCGCAATCCATATGTACTTGCATCTCAATCACCTATTGCCAACAACACTAACTAGTTTATTAACAACATAGTTAAGTAATTGGTGATCTTACATTAAATTTTTTTTTTCCGCAACAAAATGGTGTAGAATTTTTTTTTCTTGCCTCTATAACCATTAAAGTGGATGTAGCAAATATGTTTTTCACTATATATATATATATATATATACATAAAGGGTTATACATACACACCAAATCAACAAAAAGGAAATGAGATAGAGGGAGAGTACCGTCATGTTTGGGTTTTAAAGAAATTAACTTATGCACTCTTCTATATATTCTTTGGTATCTGAAATACAGTACTGCAGCAGATGATCTCTCTTGATCTTAACCCAGCTTAGTGATAAATGAATACAGGACGTTTGTTCAAGCTTCTGTACTATCTCTGTGTGTGTGTTTGTATATATATATATATATATATATATATATATAATTGTGAAGACGTGACATTATTATATATACAGTATTTCCGAACCGACATTTTCTTACCTTATGGTTGGAGCAAGAATAGGTCCCCCGCCCATGGGGGCATCCATGTTAGTACTCGAATAGTCAAATGTACAAAATGTATAGGTCAATACTGTATGAGTATATTAAAAGGGTCAGTGAAATTCACGCGATCTGAATGCGCGTGGAATGTACCCAGTCGTAAAGTAGGAGATGCCCTTCCAAACATAGGTTGCCTTTAAATTTGTTTCACGCGCCAAATATATATATATATATATATATATATATATATATATATTTTTTTTTTTTTCGAAATGGAGTAGAAATGGACCGATGGATGCGGGATGGGCACTGAAATTTCCATGTGATTGCGCTCCATATGGATCGTGTACTGTTTAATACGAATGCGTGCACTGGGCCATCCACTATTCTATTTGACCCACTGGTGGTTGTGGCGGCTGTAATGGCGGCGGCAGCCATGGTAGGCTGGCGGTGCTCGACCGGAGATGGTGTATTAGGAAAGGAACAAATTAACAATATGACATTTCATAATTCTTTAGACTTTTGGAAGAATAATTTTACACATTATTATAAAAAGAAATAAACAATAACAATAATAATAATCTCTATTTATGTTTGAATAAATGAAAGAGAAAAGATTATTTTTTATTATTTCAAATTAATTGTCCCAATTCAAATTTAGGCTTTGTTTCGTCCTAGTCAAAATAAGTAAGAATTAGAATTTGAGGTGACCTCATAAAAAGCATTTATTTTTTTATTTTTGATTATTTCAAATTAATTGTCCCCATTCAAATTTCAATGTACTATTCCTAGTTTACCTTCGTTACTTTAAAGTTGTAAAAATTATTAGAATTATTTGAACCCATCGTAAAAAAAATATATTTAACAATTCATTACCTACTTCTATAATAATAAAAAAATTAAAAATTATACTCTTAAAAAATTAAGTTTTTAAAAAGAGACATTTTTTTTTTTGTGAAATGAAAGATATATTATTTTTCTTTAATCGGGCTTGCTTGAATATTTTTACCTAATACCTACATCAACTCAAATTGACCATTTGCAACTCAAGTACCATCCAAACTAACTTAATATTATTTTGCACACCCATGAGAATTATTTACACCAATATCAAAATAATAATAGTAGTTATTAGTGCATTCAGTAAATAACATTCAACCTTTACTTTTTATTAATATTTCAAAGCAACATAGGCTAGCAATTTTATTGATAAGAAAACATTAGTTACACAGTACAATCAAAAACTTTGGCTACTAACTTATAGATACAAATTCTTTATTTATTTTTTTCCAAAAAAATAAATATAAAAAATTGCTACGTCCTTAATTGCAATTAATTTCAAAAAAAAAAATTGGTTTGATCAACTTCAATTTGATTGAGCAAGTTCCTAATTGCAATGGGGAATAATGTGTTTCTTGTCGGATAAATTGAGCATTTGGGTTTGGGCCTGGTTTAAATGCACTCTTTATGTCTTCATTGTATTAGTTTAAAGCTGCGTCTTTTGTTTCAAACTTTGGGGCTTGGGCTCGAAGACTGTTTGATTGCATTCGCCCCATCCCTTCCAGTCAACATGAATTTCCCGGGAAAAAAAAACATATAAGGGTACAACAGCAGCATTTAGCTTTTTTATTCTTTTCTTTCTTCAGCCAATTCAACTTAAGACCATGAAAAGCAATGGAAGGTCGAGGGGCTATGAGCTTCATTAAACAATTTGCAATCCCAGCCTTCTATAATGAAGAGATCACTGAAACCCTAATCTATACTCCATTTGATTCCTTGCTTAGCCACCCAATTTTCAGCCATTAAAGCCAAATCAGGATATGAAAAAAAAAAAACCACCACCACCTTCAAGACACCTTCCCTATTAAGCTTTTAGTACGTACGCACAGCTGATGAGGGTGGTCCCACTTTTCAGCAACTTGATCGGATTTGTAATCAATAGAGAGAAACCCATTACTTAAAATGGTTAGAAATAATCTCTCTCCTGAATGATAGTACCCTTCAAAGTAAAATTTGTTTCTACTTTTCTAAAGATTCCAAGAGATAGAAGTAATCTTCCCAGAACGAATGCTTCCATAAGAGGCAAAGGGATTGGAACAACTACTAAAAGTTTTAAACCAATATTAATACGAGGGAGATTACCCCTCATAACTTTAAATGAAGCATTTTTTATACATAATATAGGTAAAATATTGTTCGTTTTTCTATTAAGCACGTTACATTATTTTATAGAATGGTGATAAATTTATATGAACATAGGTGACGTGAGAATTGTGAGCACACTTAGCTTGCTCCGAGTCTCAACCACATTTGGAAGCCCGACATTCCCGTATGCACACTTTCGGTGGATAAAACTATGATATTATTTGTAACTGCACTCATCCTACTCAACACAATATTAATGGCTTTTGACTCCCCCAAATCAGAGACTTTCCGGGAGATCACACATCCATCCAGATTAAACATGTTTTACTTTGAAATTCTAATAATTTCACGACCATCGAAGCTTTAAAATATGTTGTGTCCTATAAGGGTGATAAACCTACATATAAAATTTTACATTTTTGTCCCTTATAAGAAAACATTATACTTGAGAAGGTGAGGAAATACTTTGGTGTAATAATTTCTCCTTTTAAAAGCCTTAATTTTCTTGTTAATTTTTACTGAAATAATTAATATTACCCTTGAGTCTGATAGTGATAATTGTGCATAAAATAGACTCGATATTCTAGAATATAGTAGTCAAAGGGGAATTCCCTTTACGCCCCTTGTGGGGGAGTAGCTATTTCATACTTGTCAATTTTAATATTAAATAATTTGCAAAGTATGCATCCAATTTTGTGTTTACTTTTTTATTTTTAAACTTCAGTTTCAATTTCAAATTGTTGTTCTTTATATTTAGTGTTGCAACTAGATTTTTTTCTTTCCAAAATTGAAACATTTTAAGTATATAATGACATTTATGTTACTATTTAGATAATAAAGAAATAAGGAGTTAATCAATAATCAAGAGACATTTATGTAAGGCACACTATAATAATGACATTTATGTAATTTAAGGCACACGATAATCAAGAGACAGAGAGTTAGATCATCGTGCGCCTTAAATTACAATAGAGTTAGCTGTGCATAAACCGTTATAGAACTTCCACATTGATTTGTACTAATTCTTATCGCTTTGGGTAAAATCTTATGGCTGATATGGTTGCGATCAAACGATTATCACAAAGTTCTCCCAAAACCTAAAACCTAGTTTCCTATTCCGAATTACATATAAAACTTCTCATTTTTGTCCCTTATAAGTAAACATTATATTTGAAAAGGTGAGAAAATACTTTGGTGTAATAATTTCTCCTTTTAAAAGACTTAATTTTCTTGTTAATTTTTACTGAAATAATTTATAGTAACCTTGAGTCTGATAGTGACAATTGTGTATAAACTAGATTCGGTATTCTAGAATATAGTAGTCAAAGGGGAATTCCCCTTAAGCCCCTTGTGGGGGAGTAGTTATTTCATAATTGTCAATTTTAATATTAAATATTTTGCAAAGTATGCATCCAATTTGGTGTTTACTTTTTAATTTTTAAACTTTAGTTTCAATTTCAACTAGTTGTTCTAATTGATGATCGATTAATAAATTTTTAAGTTTAGTGTTGCAACTAGAATTTTTTCTTTCCAAAATTGAAACATTTTAAGTATTTAATTACATTTATGCAACTATTTAGATACTAAAAATATACGATAATTTTTTTTTTTTTGAAAAGTAAAGCAATTGCATATATAAATATAGAAAACAATTACAAGCCTCAAAGGAAGCCCAATAAGAAGAAACAAGAGTTGCCCAATGATAATTGAACCAACACATCAAAAGTCAACTGGACCCACAACAATTAGCTCAAGAGCATAGCCCATTCGACCTGCCCAACCAGTTAAAGCCCTGAAGCCAAGCCCAATTCGCATTGCTCTTGATAATGCCCTAGTCTTGCAAAATCAGGTGACCACGAATAATTGCATACGGCTTGCGATCAGCCGACCATAACAAAGTTTCCTATTCCGAACTATATAAACCACACTAATACATATCCTCTTTGTAATAACTCTCTCCTGCACTGCGAACAAGCGTTCCTTGCTCTTCAAGAATCTCATGCTTTCACTCTCCTTCTCTCTCTAGGGTTTTCTCTCCAAAACCCTACTCCGCCCGCTTTATCTCTCTCTCTCTATATATATTACATATCTCTTTCTCTGTAATTCGCATCTTCTAGTGTTTTCAGAGTAACATTGGAAAAAATGGGGTTCCGCAGAGGTGATCAGGTTGAAGTTGCGAGTAAAGAGGAAGGGTTTCTTGGTTCGTACTATGCTGCGACAGTGATCGTAGAGATTCTCAAGAAGGAATACATTGTGCAGTACCGGTCCCTGTTGAAAGATGATATGTCCGGACCCTTGAGAGAGATTGTCACCGCCGGCGAGGTCCGCCCGCGCCCACCTCAAATTCCGGCGACTTCCTTTGGTTTGTACGACAACGTCGATGCGTTTGACAACGATGGTTGGTGGGTCGGAAAGATTACTGGCAAAGTTGGGTTGGAGTACTTGGTTTATTTTGAGACCACAGGGGATCAGATCGCTTACCCAATGAGTCGGTTGAGGGTTCATCAGGAATGGCTGAATGGCAAGTGGGTTTCTACCAATAGGAGGTTGTCAATCATATGATTCCTCTTTCTTCTTGGAATTTTGATTCTTACTTCATATATGTATTGAACCCTGTTTTAACTCTGTCTCAGGCCTTTTGTGTTTGTAACGTTCTAGGTTTTCTCATGAAATTGTACTTTAATATTAGTCTCTGATTATGTGTTATGGATTTTCTTTATTCTTTCTTCTTGTAGGGAAGCTTTAATGATGTTTTATGATCTTGATTTTGCTTCGATTTTCAAGATTGATGCTATAAATGGGTTGTTGTTTTATTATTTCCGTTTTTTTTTTTTTTGGTAATTGGTTTGTGCTCGTTTACTTTGGGGGCTCTATTTCAAGTTTAATTTGTGATATAATTGTGTCGCTCTTCTGATTTATTGTTCCTGTTCTGTTTTAATGCTATGCTATGTTGATTCCGCTTTTTTTACTTTCTTCCATTTCCCCCCTTTGTTTTGAAATTCTTGAATGGGTTAGCAGTTTGGTCACTGGCACTCTCTTTACTTTCTAATGCAAATTCTTGTTTAGCCTCTTGTTTGTTTTTGATCTATGTGATTTAATTTGAACCCTGTTTTAACTCTCAGGCCTTTTGTGTTTGTAACGTTCTAGGTTTTGTCATGGAATTGTACTTTAATATTAGTGTCTGATTATGTGTTATGGATTTTCTTTCTTCTTTCTTCTTGTAGAGAAGCTTTAATGAAGTTTTATGATCTTGATTTTGCTTCGATTTGCAAGATTGATGCTATATTTGGGTTGTTGTTTTACTATTTCCATTTTTTTTTTTTTGGGGAATTGGTTTGTGCTCGTTTAATTTGGGGGCTCTATTTGAAGTTTAATTTGTGATATAATTGTGTGTCACTCTTCTGATTAATTGTTCCTGTTCTGTTTTAATGCTATGCTATGTTGATTCTGCTTTTTTTACTTTCTTCCATTTTCCCCTTTTGTTTCGAAATTCTTGAATGGGTTAACAGTTTGGTCACTGGCACTCTCTTTACTTTCTAATGCAAATTCTTGTTTAGCCTCTTGTTTGTTTTCTATGTGATTTAATTTTTGTGTCCGCCTATTTCCAATTTACTACCTTAAAACTCATTAGTCCTTCTTAATGGTAATTCTGTGAGTGTGTGTGTGTGTTTGTGTTCTGTTTTAATGCTATGCTATGTTAATTCTGCTTTTTTTACTTTCTTCTTTTCTCCCCCTTTGTTTTTAAATTCTTGAATGGGTTAGCAGTTTGGTCACTGGCACTCTCTTTACTTTCTAATGCAAATTCTTGTTTAGCCTCGTGTTAGTTTTCTATGTGGTTTAATTTTTGTGTCTGCCTATTTCCAATTTGCTACCTTAAAACTCATTAGTCCTTGTTAATGGTAATTCTGTGAGTGTGTGTTTGTGTTGTGTCCATATATATATATATATACACACATATATATGTATGTTTGATGTTGTTAACTCTGATTAAGACTTGAATTGAAGCCTCTCCTATTGTTGAAATATTTGTGTAGCATATTGTGGGTTTCCCTTTGAAATGGGTAATTGGTGTAGTAGCTGAGGAGTGAGGATTGATGTGTGTGTTTTGACAGGTTCTGAAGTAGCAGTGATGGGTCTACAGAAGCTTGGTAGAGTAAGAATGCCCAAACAGAAACAGGAGGATTGAGGAATATGGATGGAGCACCAGTAGCATAGCAGACACATGGATCATCTATCTCTCACGGGGCTTTAAATTAAAAGGGTTACCATTATTATGTACTCTCTTGTTAGTATGGAGTGTCAATATTCTGTTCAACTCATTTGTAGGAATTATGTGAGTTATGAAGCTGCTGTATAAACTACGTACATTGGTTATTTCTGCCCTCCTCCTCCTTTTGGGAGAAGACTGATTAGTCTAATTTCACTTGTTTACTTCTGATCTGCAGTGGTGAAGTGAAACCTAGTTGTTTTTGACAGTTTCTATATAACAAATTAAAGTTTACTTTCATCCATCTCTTATTTTCTTCCGTAAACAACTGTTGTGTGTTGTTCATATGAATACAACCATATCTTCCTCGGTGGGATATGACAGTGTGAGCAAGATTGTTAAATTATAAACATGTTTTGGTTTCATATGACTTCATGACAAGAAAGATTCTAGCTCTGTAAAACACCACTAAACATTAATCTTCTTGCACTTGGCTTGTTATTATCTCTGTAAAGAAAAATTAGGTTGTAGTCCTAGCAGTGATTCTGCAGATCATTCATGTTTTTCTTGCGTCCCTATTGGAAGTTATTCTGGTTTGTACATATCATAAATCTTGCATTGGACGGATATTCATTTTTTGATTTAATGTCCATTTGTGTGTATTTGCCTAAGAATGAGGATGTGAATGTGAAAAACTATTATAGGAACTTGTTTAATCTGATGTTCTAAAAGTTAAAACATATCAAAGTGGTGTTGATAAGAAGAGATTGTTTTTACATAGAGTGGAGGAAATTCACAAGTCACACATTGAAGAGCACAAATTGGCACTCCAGTTTCAATTTCAAGGAGTCTCTTTAGTGTAAGAGCAAAAAAAAATAGATTATAATGGTAGCAAGGATTTATTTATTTTTTACTTATTGTTAAATTAATTCATCCCAAAGCATGTGGTACTTTTCATTTGGGCCTCAACTTAGAAACACAAAACAGAAATGAATGTAACATCCTAACTAGTTGCTCAATACTTACATATTATGCCTCTCGCTCTAGCCTAGAAATTTTTTATTTTTATTTTTCAAGGCAAGAAGTATTAGAAAATGTATTAGTAGATGAAGAGAATCGAAACCTGACACTCCAATATTTACTGTAGGCACTAATTACTGGGCTATTGAGACATCTGCTAGCGTAGAATTTGAATACTTGATCTGTCAGTTCAACAATTTGATATATTGGGTCTGAACAAACTAAATCCGAGCCCTTTACTTTGGGCTAGATTTTGGTCCTCCCACAGCAATTGCCTAAACTAGGTCCAAGAACTCTACAAGCTTAATTTTGGGCCAACAAGTCTAAAGGTATCAAAGAACAAGACAACATGAAGAAAATAAATTCGAACTATTTTCCAATATTTGGAAATCACAGTAAGGGAGAAACTTTGAATATTTAAGTATCATTTTCATTATTGAGAAAATTTGATCTAACTTCGCGTTCTGCCACTTGCCCCACTGCTGCTATTTTGTTCTGGTTGCTAATTCACATTGCAGGCTTCCTTGTTTTTTAAAATGAAAGGGCGAGAGTTCAACACTTTGTAAAGACAAAAATTAAGTGTGTGAGTCTCTTGCTAAGGTAAAAAAAAAAATGCTACACTTTCTTCTCTCTCCTTGTACACCAAACAAATGAAATGTATTTCTACCTAATTGTTTCAAGAAGTGGAATGGACAATTAGCCTACCTGGTATAACATATCCTCTCTCCAAGAGAAGTGTGGGATTAGAGTTTCATAGTAAGTACTTGCGAGTGTGTGTTAATATTTACCTTTAAAAGAGAGACAGAAAAAATAGTTCCCCTAAAATAGCCTGTAATAAATATATCTACAAATTATTGATCAAGGGCCCACCTAATTTGTTTTTCAAAACATCAAAAAAAAAGAAAGAAAAGAAAAGAAAGATTACAATGGTGTGGCACTTTAAACAAATGTATGTAGAAACAAGAGTTTGGTAGCATAATTGGGGGAGGTTATGTAATGGAGTAGATTGTAAGTCAGCAACTCCATGCCATATTGGTGATTGGCAACAAAAAGTAAACAGTGAAGATGCCCCCAAATCATGTCCAATTATGTAAAGCAAAAAACAGGGGTTCTTGTCAACTAAAAGGTTTAAACAGATTTTTGGGGGACCTAGTCTAGCCTCCTTGGTAGTTGCTCACTCCCAATCCCAGCTTATGAAAGAGAAGACATACATACATATTCACACCATCACTAACAAAATTAATTTTATCCAAAACAAGAAGAGGAAGCACATGGCTGTCCTTTCTTTAGTCGGTAGGGAAGATGACAAAACACATCCTCCAACCATGAATACAGGTAACACAAAATATTCTCCATGACACCCACCCACAACCTGTGTTGTCCCTTTTTCAGTCGGTAGAGAAAATGACAAACCACGTGCTGATATACTTCACCCGTGGACACTGCATGTTCATTTTAAAGTTGGTCCTGTATGGTATTGGTATCCCCCCTCATTCCCTATTCCCTCTGTGACTCTCTGTGTGTGTGTATTTATACTATATAAGTGCGTGTATTTATTGTGTATATTATTTCTTATATTCATCACCATTTTGTCCATCAATGTAATTGAGGTTTCACCTTACTTCAAAATTTTAGCCTATGAGAATAATCGGAGAAGCAAAGTTTGTGAATTGCATTTCTAAGAGTCATTTATTTATTTATTTTTTACTTTTAAGTGGGATCCACAATCTCTTTTTAAGATTTGTGAAAGGATCTGTGATAATATTAAAAAAATCTGTTTCGAGTTAATTCAATTTTATATTGTGAAAATTAAAAACTGTTCAAGATAAGCGCAATTTATCATAATGTTGTGTCTTGTCATTGGGGGTAAATGAGTCACTCATTGTAAAAATATAGTAGTGATCAATTACTAATCATTTTCTCTATTTCCAACAATACAAAATAAAGTCGCATTTTATATTAATTTTGTTAAAAAAAATTGTCAAATTTGATCTAATATTTCTCTCCCTTTAGCAAGACCAGCACTGTGCAAGTAATGGCATTATCAATTTGACAAAAAAAAAAAAAAAAAATCAAGAGATTTTCCTGGTTTTTCTTTAATGTCCTGAATTATTGTTACATTTACAACTTCAAATTTGGTGTGGAGGCCAGACAGTTACAACAAACACATATCAAATCATGAAAGCAGAACAGTAAAAAGGAAGAAATGGCCTCAAAAACTCCAACAAGACTTTTAATTTTAGCATTAACCAATACCATTATACACAATGATGATTTTAACTGTGGAGGAAAGCCCTGGGGCATGCTAAAAGAGAAAAAGCATGCAATATAAAATGCTTCCATTAACTAATACCATCAAAATGATGATTTTAACTGGACCTAAAGTCCTGGGGGCAATCCAAAAGGGAAAAGGACACCAGGACATGTAGTGTTTTTTTTTTTAGTTAAAAGGTAAGCTCAAGACATGTAGTGTTACTACTACAATAATGTCTACTTTTTATTCAGGCTCCAGATTCCTGGTACCATTCTGCATTGGACACCTTCCACTCTCCAATATTCAACTCACAACATCTTCACATTATGACAAACCATTTTTTTGTAAGCATGACATGATTTATGAAATGATTTATGTATGGAAACCTATATAGATACCGAATACGATATACGACATAACATGATAAATTTTTAAATAATAATAATTTGTCATATTATTTAAGGTAAAATGAGAAAAGCATTTTCAATGTTTACATCTTGGACAATTAATATTCCTATATTTTATGTTAGGTATATAAGTCCGTCAAGTTTGAAAAAATTGACAAATAATGGCTTAATTCGTATAATCGATAAGAAAATCACCTTTAAGAAGTCATATGCGTATGACTATTTTAAGTAAAAACTTCCCTAAAACACCCTTTTACTCTCCCCAAAATGCCCCTTATATAATTTTACATATAAAACACCTCTTTTTCTCTGGCCTCTCTCTTTTACAATCAAATAATTTGCAATCCACCCTTCTTCTTCCTCCCTTCCATATTTAAATTTTGGACTTTTTCAACATCGGGGTCGTAGAGCTACTCCAAAACCTAACTGATTTCAAGGGCAAAGTGAAAAAAACACACTCCTAATGTTTATATTTTGGACAAATAACACTCTTATCTTTTATATTTAAGTTTAGGCATTTTAGTCATTTTATATTTACTAAGTTTTTCACCTTTTTTCTACAGTTACATATAGGCACTTCAGTCTTTTAATTGCTGCACTGAGAACATGCCTTCTTCACACCAAAAGTAAAAGTTATGGACTTGTAAGAACCTATTGAGAGTTTTATATCCTATATGCCTACTATACGAGTGTTTATTACTTGCAACCCTATTATTAATATTTATTTATGAAAAATATGACAAATAAACTGAGAGTTGACAGTTACGTAGTACACGGCATGGATAAACTTTGGACTAAATTAGTCAATTATTCTATGTAGAATAATGATAAAAAAAAAAAAAAACCCTAATAGTAATTCCCGAAATTTCACCGAATCTGATGTGGTCAAAGACAGAAAGGATTTATTATATGTCTTTCAAGACAAGTATGATTCATTAAATGTCTTTTAAGATTGGTAGGATTCAACATCCTCTCTTTTAAGATTGGTAGGATTCAACATCCTTTCTCACCTGACGTGATTTGGGTGGTTTCGTCTTCAACTGCACAAACTGAATCAAACTCCAAGTTTTAATTGTAGCACACAATGGCAACGATTTACAGTTTGGGAACTCATGTGAATGAAATCCATAAATGCAAACAAAAAAAAAAAAATTTAATAAACAAAAAAAGATATCGATACACTCATATCTATATCTATGTGTGTGTATATATACATATATGCTTCTATTGTATATTCTCTTTGCTAATTTTATATTTTTGTTTTCTGATCAAGAAAATAATTTTATAAGATAATGGCACCTTCATTATTATATTAGGATTTTCTCCAATTTTCCTTTCATTTTCTGCACTTCATTTTTTCTTTTCATTTTGAAATCATTGATGGAAAGGAGTTTGGATTTAGATTGTAGGTAAAAAATGGTAGACTATTTTTCTATAAATAGAATCCATGTCATGAGGCTGAGGACAACTATGATTGGTGTAAGACCCACTCAAGACACGTGACGTGAGAGAGGACTTTGAATTTTCACTCTTTAGAAATATTTAAT